AGGAATATCTCAGGATCCAAGAGAAATACAGAAATTTTTGTTGATACCTTTTTTGTAATTCTCATTCCGCTCTGTCAAATGTATTTTATGGAAAAATTCGCTATCTCTCTCAGACTGAGCGATAATTCCAACCGAAGACTCGACGAGAGTCAGCAGATGCTTAATTATTGAATTCACTGAGTTATTGAATGCTATGACGAATTAAAAATCTGGGTTGACAGACGTTGCGGGCTTCAATCCTTTACCATCGCGAAAAAGCAAAGAGCTTCATAAATTTTTCATTCGCAAGGGGAGAGATGTGCAAATGGGGGACAGAAGCGTCGGTGACGGTGGCTAATAAAATAAACACTTAGAGCTTGGAGAAGTAAAAAAGAAAAAGGGGATATTACTCACTGTCGTTAGCATAGTAATGAGGATCATGTAGGTTCAGCTCACACTGGGTTCATGAGTCGCTTTTTTACTGACTATTTAATGATTGTACTTCTGAAGGCATTTACTGGCCACATAAATGCACCGATCCACCGGTAATGCCGCTCCTAGTGGTTACGACAAGGAATAGTCAGGCGAACAGCTGTTATTCGTAAGACTTGTCAAATATTTACTCCACAGGTTTTGTTTGAATTTTTTATGGCAAACAGTTGAACGAAATATCTGGTGAATAATCATTTCTTCTTTGAAATTTTCCGTTTTTGACTCGCGATTGAAATTTTTTAATTTTCGTTACTCTGCACTCATTAAAATTGTTTTCCAGTTAAAAAGAAATCATTAAACAATTATGAACCATTTGTCGGGATTTACGAAGAGTAAATTTCAATTTTTAGGCTTTTTAAACCATAGAGTGTCGAGAAAACACCAAAAATCCGGGATTGAGACTCGAACAATGGCGATGGTTTCATTCAAATCCGAAAAAAGTGGTTTTTCCCCAGTTTATTTGTGATATCCGAGGATTTATCCGGGCAGAATAGAAAATATTTCCAGCGTTTCCTAACGCTATTCAATTAACAGAATAATTGAACGAGTCGATATTTGACAAGTACACAGTGAACCAATGAAAAAAATCATTTCGAATGCCTCCCAATCACTTTTTTCCTCATCACCGGCGTCCAGACGTTAAAAAAAAATAATTACCGATGTTTGGAATTTATTGAAAAATTCTCGCACCGCTGAATCGATGCCCAGTGACACGAATCGTCGTTTAATAACGTTTTCGTTTCAATATAAACGTACCCCGATAATGTTGAAACGACAGTGGAAATAGCAGTAAACTGCAGAGAGGTTGAAAAGTTTTGTCGGGGCGTTGTACTTTTCGCGGTGAATGCGCGTAATAAAACCGCGATATCTACGTTGGCCCGACACTTTGGCACTCGCAGTTGACAGTATTTCATACCACCCGATGACTCTCGGAAATGTTCTACCGTTGGAAAATACTTTTTTTTTTAAAATATGTCTTCATCCCATGAACGCGAGAATAATCGATAATACTCATCACGTCAATTTCTAGTTGTCTATTTCGCGGATGAAATGGCTCGAGGCAACTGTCGATTCACGGTTCAATGGCTACATTAGCCGTTATCCTTGGTAAATTACCGTCTGATTCTCGTCAAGCTCCATGTGTACTCCACCCTCCACCCCCTTTCAACCACTCTATCCCTTCAATTGCAAACAATCGCCAGCAGTATTGAGCCATAACGGCGTTAATTTTCGATGTACATCAATCGGCCGATCCCTGGGATTTCCAATTTTCCCTCCATATTTTCAAGTTTCGGTAATTGGGGCTTGTAACGTGATCGGGGAAATCACTGGGAGTGATAATGAATACCCAGTAGCTGTGATTATTTAATAATAGTCGGCGCATTGTTGCATGATTTAATTGAGTTAAGGGAAGGATTTGTTTTAGGTCAATGGGTTGCGCTGGTGTTCAGCTAACGATTGCACTAATAATGTGCGGATAATTAACAATAATGTATAATTGTTCGTCTAAAAAGGAGGAAGGAAATCGATCTCGAAGTATCTCGACTCAGACGAAATCGACCGGCCACCACGACGTCGTATAATTTGGAAAATTTTTAAATTGAAAATTTTTAAAACCGCAAATATTTGGGAATCATTCCGGAAACTGACTTCCCCAATTTCATATTCATTTATTGATTCAATAAAAAATTGCAAGGAAAAATATTTATTCTGACATTTCAATCCACTGAATTCCATTTTTACCATTTCATTTTTGTGATAATTGCAACGATTTCCGTGTGCAATACAATTGATTAATTAATCATTGATAGACGAGTGTTTTAATTGGAATATTCGAGTGCACTCGGGAATTATTCATGTTGAAAATTATTCTCCTGACTGACCGTTTCTATTTTATTTCACTTGGTTCGTATATCTGATCGGAGGGCGAAAGTTATTGAACAATTTCTGGAGGAAATAATTATTCTAGATTTGACAAGTTTTTAATTGACGAGAGGTTTTTTAGTAGTTTTTATTGGTCTCGGTGATGATAGAAGCGGAATGAGAGACTTGAAATAGAAAATAAAAAATGAAAAATCACTCTATTCATAGGCCATTCAATTTCCACTCGACTCTACATCCTCTCGGCCTCTTCCAGGCGGTAAAGTGATCTCTATCTTCAGGCACTCCACAGGATCCTCCTTCCAATCCAATAGAGGATGCATCTCATCCTCAATTTAACCCGAAACAACTCTAGAGAGTTGAGCAAGGGAGAATGAGCCCTGGCTCGCCAAAAACTCGATATCATCACAGAAATTTCCCTATTTTTCTCGCAACCTAGAACCATTTGCTGAAGATTCACCGCGAGACTAAATTCGTTTCAATCGAACTTGAATTCCACGTCCAGAATTCAGGAATTCCAAAGGCGAAAGTCCTTTTAAAAATTTTCATTTGCATTACTACTGGGAAATAAACCTAGCCTTAAAAAATTTAATTAAATTCAAGTAATTATCATATTTTATAAGAAATGAAATAATTTTTTAAGATCCACATCAACACATGGCTGAAAAATTTCTCTAAAAATGAATGAATTAATGAAATTAGATAAATCTTCCAAACGATATTTACATTCCCCACATTCACCTAATGATGCCATAATGAGCGTCAAACTTTGTCCAAACTTTTCGAGTATCTCCCAATTTCCTTCAATTTACACACGCTGACGTACAAATCACGCTCGTTAACCATTTCACTATGTAATTGCGCGCACGTTTCACACGAGTATACGCGCATACTATCAACTGGCGGATTGAAATGGGGTGGGTGGTGGGTGAGAGGGTGGTGTTACCCTCGGCATGTAGCACAATTGTGTGTGCCCACGACCAAGTTAATTTCATTACCCACCACCCAAACTTGTCCCCATGAAACTCAACCGAGCACTCTCTCTCGATAATGACAGCAAACAAATCCCCAGGACGAGATTATTTTTACTGGTAAATACAACACATTGGAGAGTATCGTGAATAATATCGAAATCTGACAATTTGGTGGATCGAACCGATCAAACTGTTCCATTATTACCATATTATTAGCATGCTCGTGTTTTCATTTTCCACTGTAAATACAGGGTAAATACACCGAACGTTTCACTCATTGATGTTCAATTTCCATCAATTATAATTGTAATAGATATATCACGATCATTTATTTCAGTTAAAAGTTTAAATAAATAGGTTAATACATAATATTTTAATGTGAAATTGAGAGAGAAATCACTTTTAATTTGACAGTGATATTGAATCATTAATTGAATACTGTTCGGAATTTTTTCGTGAGACTAATGAATTCGAAATTTAATGCACATTAATATTTTGATTCGCAAGCGGGTGAAGCGCTTGACTTAAATTATTTCAATAAAGACCAAGAGTTAATGAAGATGTGTCGGAATAAATTGATTGGACGATTTATGGCAACTGTCAACTCGATTGACAACCGTCGGTTATTCCGTTTCTCAGAATTTCAATCAAATTCGATTAATGATCCTCTCGTCATTCCACATTCAAATAAAATTATCTCAAATGAAAATGAAGTTACTAAAAAATTTAATCCCTTAAAATTCCACAGCTCTCATCATTTTAATCAACCATTAATTAGATAATTGATAAAATTTTCAATAAATCCCTGGAGCAATCCTCATTACCGAAAATTCCGCAGACGTATTTTCCCGACAATTACAAGCGCCTGAATATTTCACCCCGCCATCCATCCGAATAATTCAACAGCTCCAGAAAATTCAATTGTTCTTAGAAAGTGTAAATACAGAAACCAAAGGAAAAGCCCATGCATAGTGGCGTGTTCTCCCTAGTACTGCACAAACTCAAGGATTCACCTCAACTTCTTGGTAACTTGATGTTTCAACTTGCAGTTGGAAAGCGTTCAGCCATGATCCTGAGCCCGCAGGGCCAACTTCACTTCCCCAGACCACACTTTCCCTATATTTCCACTGTTACGGTTATTATTAGTGCGATTGAGTGGTTGTATTTTCCAAGACCATTTCATCCCCCTCATAATAACATTTTCCTGCCATCTCTATTTTTCCTCTCAACTTTTCCATAACAATAAATTACAAATTCGCAACTCGTCACCTTACCCTAGATTCTGACAAAAATAACGTCTCCCCATCGAAGATATACTTTCCCAAAAGCTGAGTGAACTTAATTGTTACCCGCAGGATATCTCCAATCGATAAATAATGATCGTACGCCGAATAGAGTACTTGTCTCCTCAATTTTACCCACCCACCTGCCCCCCCCGAAATTTGGCCTACGGGCAAAATTGTAAATCCACGTACCTGGCAAAGTGCCACGCAATCTCGACTGGTTTGACATTTAGCCTCCCCCTTTTACTTTTGATTCGCAAAGGAAACTCCGAACTGGATAGATATTTTTGAGGAGAGAGTACCCCCGCTGGGGGGACTAATCTATAAAAGTGCCAGTGATATAGGTCTGAACGTGCCCCGATTTTCTACTACCAACTACCTGCTGTGTCCAATGTTTCTCCACGTGAAAGGAATACCCCATACGGGGGTGAGCAGGTGGCAGTGAGGAGTTAAGGGGTAGAAACAATTACCACTGACCAAAGGAGAGTAATGGCCGGAGGGATCATCCGTCTCTAGCTACAATACATCACCAATACGTTTTACACTCATCTCTCATTTCACACCCTCCAAGATTCCTCATTATAATCAAATATAAATATATAAATAATGTATTATATATATGTATATAATATTAAGGTGCCCAAAAATAAATTAATTTTATTAACTGCATTCGATTTTTAGCTTTCACGGTACAGCAGAATTTTATACATGAATATTTTTATTACGTATTGCAATATTTTGTTATAGATTTTATGGAATGGATTTTATGGAAAGGAATTTATTTGCAGTAAGTTGCTCACGTGAAGACTTTTGTAATTACAGCCCTGTCAAGTGCCGAGTGATTTTCGGGGCGAGCAGTGCTCCAATTTTGATAATGTACCTTACGGCGGACAATTGATCAAGTGGTATCCTTATTACGATGAGTCTAAGCCGTGCTCCTTGATCTGTCGTGGAGTTCAAGTGTCAAGGGCTACTTCGGAGGCATCACCGAGGGAGTCATTGGACAAGTCTGAGGAAATTAGGAATAAACTTGATGGGACTGTTGGTGGATCCATTGAGACTGGAGAACTTGAGTCCGATGAAACATTCGTTGTCCAGCTGGCGGACAGTGTTGAGGATGGCACCAAGTGCCAAGAAGGAGGTGTTGATGTTTGTATTGGCGGTAGCTGCATGGTAAGTACACTAGAAAACGTGAGAATTTCAGGAGAAAAATCGGTAACGAAATATTTCTAGAAATTATTGACCACCGAGTAACAGTTACATTTTACCAAAAGGATTAGCCCATTTTATCCGCTCGAATCAGCCCCGAATATTCCAACAACTGAAAAAAAAAAAAACAAATGACAATATATCACCAAAAGCTCCAACAATATCAAATCAACGTTTTCCACTCTCGACGACGAGTGTCTAGGCAATTAAATTCCATCCACAGCCGAGATCGGTGAACGCTAACTAGCTTTGCATTATTAAATGGATGGGTTCCTCAACTCTTCGGGAATGGCCAGGGTAAAAGAAGATTCTCACGTCTGCAAGAGAATACGAAAGCACTCAACCCCAAAAATTAGCCAACCCCCATTTCCATCCCTCATGGTTTTTACTTAATAATTACAAGGGATGAATTGGAATATTTCACCGAGACTTTGAGACACCAGCACTCGTGACAGGTTCAATCAACGCTGAATTTGTCTGGGTAAAAATCACCCCGTCGAGGATACATCTCTTGGTTACAGTGGAGAGCCCTCATTTCAGCCTCCCCATCACTTTCATCTCCACTGTTTCGTCATTCCACCCTGTGTTTTCTTCAGCAAGCAACCAAGTGCATGAGTAATCCTCCCAATCCCATTTCCATCCTTTCACTCGTGCACGCTCACCGATGATAACTCGTGATACCTCTTCCACTCCATACACTAGACCTTATTCACTCTCATGTTGCCTGCTTTTTTTTTTCACTCTTTTATTTTTTCAAAATGTCTCGTTCCACCAGGCTCTTTCGTTATTTCTCTCTTCCGGTCTCACATTCATCCCTGTCCTTCACCTTTTCACTCTCGAGGAAGGGCTCGGATGACGTACATTCCCACGTAGAACAATAGATATATACAAAATATATACTGATTTTTTAAATTTTCCCGGGAGAACAGAACGAAATTTTTAATTATCCTGGAAATTTAATGATATCTCATTGTTTTTTAATTCCTGAATTAATAAAATTGTTAATTCCCTGTCACTGAAATTGTAAAACCCAACGAATTGTTGATGAAAATGTTTTCGCTATTGACGAAATCGTTAATTATGGAGATAATTGGCTCGTTAACACCGGAAAAATTCAACAAGTTTTCCCTGGCAATTGCTTGAAGCCCCAACCGGTGTATCCGGATTTCAATTAATTCCGGAATCGAGTGATAACCGACCAGTGGATAAAATTCAGTAGGCAATTAATGTTTAACGAAATAGCGAGGTATGTACCTGGGATTTGGAGGAATCCCAGAGCATTTCACGAGGCTGCGGCAGGGACACTAGCTACAGTATAAGTCGAAGCCAGGTTGTGGGATAAGATAAGGGGATGAATAATACAACCCACCAAACCTCTGAGTCCTCGAGAGTTGCAGCCTGAATGACAAATCAGTCCTTCCTATGACGGGTTAACATGAAAATTCTAGTCGAGAGGATGAAAAATCGATAGATGTTGCTGTCGGAATCATTTACAAATGCATTTATCACAAGTGGAATTATTCATCGAGTGATGAAGATATTTTCACAAAATCATCCCTCGAGTAGTTCAGAGGAATATCCATAATTGCTAATCCAATTTTTTCATCATTTCCTGCATAATAATAATAATTAACAATAAGAGAATTCGACCAGAATTCGATAAAACCATGCAGTTGTGACAAATTGTTCATCTGAAAATGAAAAACTTGTGATTTAATGAAGTTCCTCGTGTAATGTAGCATTTAATCATTGTCTCCAGATGTTATATGAAGGTAATTCAATTTTCCTGTAACAGTTTTTGTCCCAATATATTGCAGAAGGTCGGATGTGACATGAGAGTAAACAGTGGGAAAACTAAGGACGCATGTGGTGTGTGCGGTGGAAATGGTTCAAGCTGTCAACCAAGATACTCCTGGAGTTTGGAATCAATATCAGCGTGCTCCAAGTCCTGTGGAGGCGGTGAGTTTATTTTTCCTTCTCTACTCCATCCACTCCTCGATGATATTTTTTTTTTATTATTAAAACGGAGCATCCGAGTGCCTCTCAATCTGTTAAATGCAAAGTCCGGCCTGTCAATAACGCCAGTTTTCTCCTTGAACTTTTTTTTTTCTTCCACTGCTTCTTCTGACGATCCAATTAAATTAGCGGTGTATATAAAGCGTTTGGCCTTCCACTGGGACAAACTCAGTTTTCAATGATGAGGTCAAAGGTTGAGAGCGAATTTCACGTGAATACGAGTTTATAAATAGATGATTTTTCGTTGAAGTTTTGAGGTCAAGATTTGAGGAAATGCTGGTTAAGAATATCATTGGTTATTTTTTTTTCCCTTCGGGGATATTCTTTCTTGGATTTTTCGATTAAAGGTGAAAAAACGTTACAGGTTTCAAAATGGCAATGGCAATTTGCAAATCGTCCGTAGATGATAGCATTGTGGACGAGGTGAATTGTGATCCGGAGGAGAGGCCGACGGAGATGTCCCTGACTTGCAATGGACACCCTTGTACCACCAAGTAAGCTCGCTACAGCAAAAAAAAAATTGACAGTAAAAAGACAATAAAAATAGCAGACGTCAGTGTAATTTTTAATTAAAAAAGATGAATTTAATTGAACTCGAAGACTACACCGACCCGCACTGTGCAATAACTTGTCATCAGGATAAATGACCAATAAATTGTTCTCCACTCGGTCGATTAATTAAATCCCCAGGATCGAGCCAACAAATCCGCGAGCAACTCCACCGTGCGTCACCCTAACGACTTTTATTATTCCACCAGGCAGAACAGTTTCCCTAAATCACAAAAGCAGAAAGTGCCAGGCGGCCGGTTTGTCCCACAATGAGAAAAAAAAAGAACTGAAATAAAGTGAGGGAATACATTTTCCTGTAGTGATGTGAATTTAGTAAAGAAAATCAGAAAGACGTTGGTATGCACTACCGCCAGTGAAAACACTTTTCATCTACCCTCCCAACCACCCTCTCGCCCACTTGAACGGCCATTAGGGGAGAGAAAGGCCCGCGGCCGTTCTTTCTTGCATTCGCCAATTTTTTTTCCCTCACGTTTATGAAACCTGCGGGAAGTAAAAATACAGAGACAAACGGCACGCGATATCAGACTCGACTTGTCGTGTTTTTACCGATGAAAGCAGTCTTTTGATCATCGTTTCTTGGCACTTGATAGAAAAACCACTTCCTCACTTTTTTTTTTTATTTTGTCAGTATTGTTTCTATCTGTCGTTTTGTTTAGTGCCTGCGGTTAAATCGATCTCACCATCCGCGAGATAGTTTCAAGTGAATCGAGGCCAGTGACAGAGATCGGTTGGATGTACGTATTGTTATCAAATTGTGTTGGTAATACGGTATTTCTGGGATGGCCACGGGTTTCCACTGCAGACTGTTATGTGGGACACAGTTTGCTGTTTGCATACGCACCACGGCTCGTTAATATATCAGGAGGGGTGCATTTTGGGGTGGGGTGAACGTTGAATTATACCAATTACTTGGCTCTTGGATTTTCAATCCGTTTGGCGAATTGTTGGGTGATTAAGGGATCAATTATATTATGAGGAGATAAATTGTTCCTTCGAAACAATATCTTGTACTCAAGAAAGTCGAATTAAATCGATGTAATTGTGACATTATTCAGATGGATCTCTGGAGATTGGACAAGATGTAGTGCAACGTGCGGGGGTGGATCACGAACTCGCGCCGTTTTCTGCACAGAGGAGAGTGGAAACGAAACGACTAAGGTAAAAAACAAATCTATTCATTTATGTACCTGTTGTGAAAACACTAGTGAACCTGTTATGGGAATTTTATCAGCTGCCAGATCATCGGTGCAACGCCAGTCATAAACCGCGTAATCAAGAGATGTGCAATACCATTTCGTGTCCTATGTGGGAGACCAATCAGTGGAGTGAGGTGAGTTGTTTTTTATTAAAAAAAAAAGGGAAAAATGAAAAAAGGCACAGCCGACGAAATTTCCCCTCTGTTTGTCCGAACGTTTTTTTTTTTGTACCTCAGTAAAAACATTGAATTGCAAATTTCTCCACAACATTATTTTTACCAACGAAATGCGCGAGCAACCAGAGGAATAAAGAGAATAGCGGAAAAGGTAAATACATGAGACATCTTAAAATGATTTTTATTTACTCAACGGCGCTACAAACTCATCCACTCGATTTCCCGTCAAAGGCGAATAGCATAGACAATATTCCGGGAAAATGCGAAAAATAACGCGGAGAGATAAACATTTGAGTGAGAATATAAACGGAGAGGAAAATTAAAGCAACCACTGACGTCAAGAGCGATAATTATTTCTGTAAATAACGACACCGTTTATTGGAAGATACGAGGAGACAGACGATGGGAAATTGGATAAATAGCCCTCAGGCTTTTGATTGCAGACAAATTCCCCCCTCGATTGATAAATTCCAACAATGACACGAGGAAAATAAACGATTTATGGAATATTTTCGTGTAATACCCCTAAATCTTCAAAATCATCGATTATATCTCGAGTATATTATTCCGTAACAGCGAGAGGGAGAATTTATTTTGTTAGTTATTGTCAAAATATAATCAGAAAAATTTAGTCCACGAATTTTCAGGATTTATATCTCCACTCGTCAGTGATAAAATCTCTGAAATTGTTAAAAAAAAAAAATAAAAACAATGGATTATTTTTGTACAGTGTTGTTTTGAATTACTCCATATTTTTTTAAACTTGGTATATTTGAAAATATTCCATCATTTTACGAGGGCATTAGGGGAAAATGAGGATTGTTATTGCAACAATATTTACTAGATTCTCCGAGTTATTTTACGACGCACCGTTAAACCGCATTTTTCACATTTCCCAGTAAGTATATCACCATAAATGCATAAGCTCAATAACCCCGGGGATGTGTGCACCGAGAGCTCTGGAATGTGACGGTGAAAAAGGAAAAATCAAGAAAAATCGTTTCACACCCTCCGGCCACTCGCATGTCTTATTCATGAGGTTTGTTCCCTAATACACTGCGGCCTTTAGCGTATTCAATGTTTTTGACAACAAAGTAGAGTCATTAAACATCGTCCATTAACATCCGGGGGAGTGAAAAAAATTGAGCAGATTTCGGAGAAAGATGGCAGGCCTTTTTTTATACTCGAGCGAGTAATGTATGCTAAATAAAAACATGATAAAAGCAGTTTGATTTACGGGACTGCATCAGTTGGCCCGTTCTCGAGTGCCTCTTTCGTGGAAGAAAACCAAAGAGAAACCACCGTTTCACTCCATAATGATTTCAAGAGTGGAGAGGGAAGTGGATGAATAAAAACCGATGATAGAAATTGATAGATTTACGTCTATTGTGTGGAGGGCAAGCAAATACAGGGGGTAAAAGCATGGCGAGGGTCGTATTGAATAACAGTGAATAAGAGCTTTTCCATTTTTTTTTTCTACCGCATCATCTTCCATTTTATTCTGGATAAGTTAGCAAATATAGGGGCAGATTTTCAACGTCAAAGTATACAGCATTATTAATGCATTTTTAAACATGAAATAATTAGCCCCGACATTTTCATTTTGTATTTATCGATATCGAGTAATTCAAAAAATTTATTAAATAGCTCGATAAATTACTGAATACCTGAATGAATAAAAGGGGAATTTTATCGTCAGGGCACGAACATATCCATCAATATTCCCTCCATTTTTTCACGACAAAATACATTCCGCGGTTTTTGTTTCTATCGATTTCAAATAATTGAACTCAAGTTCTGAAATCGTGGGATAATCCGATAAATTTTCATCATTTAAAAAACGATATCGTCAATAATCCGTCAAACGTACATTGAAAATATCGAAAAATTGTTAACCGAGGGCAAAATTTTAACGACCACTCCAGTTTTACAACCCACCCCGGTATTTACGACCCCATGACTTCTCTACGTCGAATTCATTATATCCAATTTAATGAGTTGGCCCCGATAATTTTAGTGCTCGGTGACATGCGGAAGTGGCGTAAGAACCAGAACGATTGAATGCAGAGATGGAAACGGCAGATTATCCAACGATTGCGATCCAGGGGAGCGTCCCCGTGATGAACAGGAGTGCAAAACCAGTGTCGATTGTTCAGCGTGTGAGTTTTCGAGTTCACCATTGTCTGACAATTGTGAGATCATGTTAATGACCTGTTTTGTGGCTTCACAGATTCAGGAGAGATGGCACAAGAGCCCTATCCAGCCCCACCCCTTCCAGAAAAACTAATTGACCAACCAGTTCCATCTGAATCAACGTAAGAGCCCGATATGAATTCGTCTAAAGAAACTATTCATTTGAATGAAAAAATAAAAATACACGGACAACATATAAATTAAAATTGAAAATAAATTTATTTTATTTGAGCAATAATATGATTGAAACTGGAATTGATCACCAGATTCATCGCCGACGATTGGTCACCGTGTTCAGCCACCTGTGGCGAAGGTATTCGCCATCGTCAGGTCCACTGCAAGATTTTCCTCGATTTCAGTCGTACAATAGCGAAACTACCTGACAATCAGTGCGCAGGGCCAAAACCCCCTGAAACCGAGAGATGCATGCTGCGAGCCTGTCCACCGCTGGACAATAGCCTCTCCTACAGAATTGATACTGTCGGAGACAGTGGATACGAAGAATCCAATCTAATGGATTCTTACAGGTCCTCTGGGGCTAGTGGAAGTGACTATGAGAGTACCGTTAAAGTCGCACCTGGAAACTCCGGTCAGACAACGTACTCCTGGAAAGAGGGTGGTTACAGTGCGTGCACTGCATCCTGTTTAGGAGGTAAATCAATCCGATTACCGGAAATTGCACGATCAAAAAATTTCCTTTCATCTAGGGAGCGAATAAATTCAGGGAACGCGTCAGTTCTCATTGCGACGGTTTATCTTTTTTTCCCTTACAGGTGTTCAGGACTTGATAATAAATTGCGTACGCGATGACACTGGCAAGACAGTGATTCCCCTACTGTGCACGAAGGAAACAAAACCTGAGTCTCGTATCCGTACCTGCAACGATCACGCATGCACCCCCAGGTAAATCAGCAATCACCTCATTAATATTTCACCTCTCACATGAATGATGTTTGTTGGTCGTCATGTTGGCTCATTTATGGTTGAATATATTCGAGTTGGGGGGAGGGTGGGAATCAATTTGGGTCAAGCTGGAGTTTGTGTTGTACGTTAGCCCGTTCTGTTCTTGATTTTCTAGGTGGAACTACAGTGACTTCTCACCGTGCAGCGTTCCCTGCGGTATTGGTATACAAACGCGTTACGTCACTTGCATACATGAGGTGGCACGGGGTGTTGGGAATACGATAGTCGTACCAAACCATATGTGTCAGGCACCACCACCGGTAGACAGGCAGCATTGTAACGTGTGGGACTGCCCACCAGAATGGAAGCCCAGAGATTGGGAGAAGGTAGGTATTAACGTTTCATTATCAATCAAATCAACAACAGATAAAATCATAATCTTCAATTCTCCCCTGCAAAACACATTTTTACACTCATCCCAGGGAAATCCTTGGATCCAGTGACTTTTTTACTGACTGCAAAATGTACCTTTAACATTACGGAATGAAACTCTAGCTGCTAGTGATTCCACATTTTCTTAAATAAATGTCATTCATTCTGAGATAAATCTGATTATTCCCAGATCTCAGATTCAGAATGAAACATGACCTCAACTTCCTCTCTAGAATTTCTGAAATAAGCGATGTGGGGAAGGTAGCAGGGATATTTAGGATAAATTGACCTGAATGGAATATTAAACCATCTCTCTTCGCCGCTAACCGAAATCTATTTTACCCAGTCAATTGTATCAAACGTCGTGTCATTCTCAGATTTTATAATTTAAACAACGATCGAACACCACTTCTCGGCTCGTTCCTCTGCCCTCGGAATTCGATCAAAGCTTGATTACGGTAATGGTGGGAGAATAATGAAAAATCATTCAACCAGATATACCAAGGATTGAAATTTTTAATGAAAAGTCCTGATGAATACTTTCACCCGCTGATTTCATCCCGTTCTATTTTCACTCAAGAGATAAATTCTTATTAGCGTGATTTGATACCTCACTCCTCCATTTATCCTTTAAAAATCTAATAGTTGTGAAATTGAATTGTTAACCAGTGCTCGAAAAGTTGCGGAGGTGGGGTGAAAAGGAGGGAAGTAGTGTGTGTCCAGGTAATGGCGCAGGGACACGAGAGAACATTGCCGGACCGTGAGTGCAATGGGAATAAACCAGCAACTGAAAAACCCTGTAACACCCGAGCTTGCCACGAGATCGGATTGAGTGTGCAGCCAGTTATTTTCAGTCAAAATTCAACATTCACCCAGAGAACACCCGAGGAAAAAGTTGACCTGAAAATTGGTGGGACAGCTACTGTATTTCAAGGGATCCCCATGGTCAAGATTCGCTGTCCTGTTAAGAAATTCAACAAGTGGGTGTTCGTGCATTCTTTACTCAGCGAAATAAACGATAAGACAACTTGAGAATAACTTCTGTCGTTTTGTTTAGGCAACAAATTTCGTGGATGAAAGACAGGGCGGAGATAAGAAAATCTAGGAAGTACAAAATTAGCAAGAAGGGAGCTCTGAAAATTGTGGATATCGGAGTGACTGATGCAGGGGTTTATTCGTGCAGAGGTAATTAGTATTGAATAATTAGCAGGAACTTCACGTTTTCCTTTGTTGTCGAATTTCAGGGGTTTGCGAAATTTCTGAGAGAATTCATGCGTTATTACACTTGAAAAAGAATAAAGAACATTTCATCGAATTAATCGACAATCGAGGGGTGAATCATGCAACAACGATTAATTCAGAAGACCATTCAACCAGTAATCAAACCATTTCTCGAATTTCAGCTGGTGGTACAAAGGCAGAGCTTCGATTAATCGTGAGACATCGTACAAGAGAGCAAATGAGCAGTGAGGAAATTCTGCGGTTCGGAAATACCGTTCATCATCGCCCTGACGTTAATTTGGATCAATCCTCTAATTCCGGGGAAAGCCTTCAAATTGATCACGCTGGTATTGGCTCTCACACTGAGAAAACAAAATCAGTATCAAAAACCTAAAGGGCAATCAGTCGAATTATTAAAGATCGATCTTCTCCCCAATTTTTCTATTAATTAAATTGACGCTTCGACCGTCACCTCTTGTACTAAATTAATTCGTGTCAATTAACTTGTTGCGAATAGTTTTTTTTTCGAGAGTAATAGTGAAGTAATAATTCTTGAGTGAAATAATTTTTTACCCAGTGAAAACCACAGAACGAAATAAATTCCATTCAGATCCCAATGGAAGCCCTGAATTTCCGTTTATTTCAGCTCCAGCTTTCCAGGGAGCTTTTGCATATGGCAACGACGACCAGAGCCACGAGTTCAAGCCCGAAATTCCAAACGCCAAACCCACGAAAAAGCCTCGCGCTCGCAATCGCAAACCAAAGACTAGTCCACCACCCTCAGACACTGGATCACAGGGTGAATTTTCAGTGACGTCCATCCACCAGGTAAAACTCCTCCACAAAATGCACACGCAAAATGCAGTTTCCACACCACAATCCACGGCTTGAATCAATAATCCCCAGTAGAATAACCATTCGTTAATCCATCAATACTCCGGAAATTACGAGTACTGAAATCGCGATAGGGCCAATGATGGATGTGAATTGTTCCCATAAATAATTCCAAACCCCAGTGATTGCTTTGATTGTCCAAGGGAAATTTCATGCACGAATAAATTTTTGCGATGTAACGGCCCGACTAATCAGTCCCTTATTTTCTGCTAACAACTTTCAAATTGGTGGTGGATAATTTTTTGGATCAGCCTGGCTATCACGAGTCGGTAGAGTCTACAGCTTCTTCGGGTGCCAATAGCCTTGTGCCAACGTTCAGCCATCTACTATCAACACTGAAGGTGATAATCCATCAATCATATCCCCTGACTTTCCCTGACCGACTGACCATTCATTAATTTACTCCACTTATTTTTCTCCCTCATCTCTCACGACCCAGTCGTAAACTCGATCAATATATTATCATAAAAATTATACTAAATCCTCCACGAATGATTCTCCAGTCATACTGGCCCTTCCACGGCGGTTCAGGATCATCTCGAAATCATCGAACAGTGTCAGAGAAAAGGCCCAATTCACGATACGACAGTGTGGAGAGGGATTTGGGTTTATTTAGCGACAATACGATCCTCCCCGACGAGCCTTTCGGCCCGGACGAGGAGAGAATATTCATTGACGACGATCCATTCGACATGAATACTGCTATGTCCCTAGACCAGCTGGAGGAAGCGAAAAAATCTACAGACGCCTTGATAAAAGTGCACAGTCAGCACTCAAAGAGTCAAGACACAAAAGACTACCTCGAGGAGTCCCTGAAACAGGCCAAGAGGCACAAGCACGGGGAGGTGGACAAATACCTGAGGAACGAGCGAGGAACGAGTCACTCCAGGCCCTCAGAGGGTACCACACACTCACCACTCGATAGATACAACGAACAGATTAGAGAGGCCGTGACTCCGGGCTCGAGTAATCCGGAGGATTTTACGACATCGAGGAGGGAGGGAGATAAGACCGACCCTGTCCTCATCACCCTGGCCTCAACTCTCCCAGCGGAGGGACGGCCCTCTGAGAAGTCGATGCCAAGAGCTCAGGACGAGGACGACAGGGCATTCGACTCTGGTAGTGAAATGGAACAGACGGAGGACTCCTACGAGTCAGAATTGGCTAGGCAGAGGTTTAATAAAAATGATACTGTTAAATTGTTGTCTAATAACTCCAATGGGAGTGATTTGGCATCGAGCAATGAGAATGCCAGGGAGATGGAGTCGGAGGGCGATGACAGAGGTGCTCTCGAGGTTTTGAGTAATGAAGATGGTGTCAATAAGTCTGAATTCACCAGGAGTGAATTGATGATCGAAATTGGCCGGCACCTGAGAAATAAGAGCTCTCAATTGAGTGGCAAGGGGTTGGGGGAGGAGGGAGAAACTCTGGGATTTGATAGTGAGGATGATCAGGGGATCGCTGGGGGGCTCAATGTCTTCAGCAAGGGTGAGTAAAATGACGGTTTATTGTTGCAAATGGTTCTGGGAGTTGGTGATTAAGATTGTGGATAATTAATCGCAGTTTATTTCTCCTCTCGAATCTCAGGGACTGGTGAGGATTTGGTGTTCGAATGGGTCACCACTGAGTGGTCCAAGTGCTCTCAAACTTGTGGAGGGGGTGGGTTTCAAGTGAGTTGGAATTTTTATTAATCACTACCGTTTGCGGAGAAAATTTATTCGATCAATTAATTTCATAATGAAAGTGTGTAACTAATACACTGAGTTCAGTTAGAATTCAATTTGTAACAAGTAAATTGAAAAAGAGGCTGATTAACATTAAAAAATGGAGTAAATCGAGTTGACTTGTTCCACGAACGGATTTTTGAGGGAATATCTCTGTATCTGAGGGAGAGGGAGGGTAATTGATTTTTTTCTGTGGCTTCGCAGATGAGGGGGGCACAGTGTACGGTGCGTTCGACCAAAACTGTTAATGCCACGAGGGTGCCAGCTAGAAGTGTCATAGGGGCTTCGTTGTGCGAAGACGCTGGATTCCCTGTTCCCCAGAAGGTCAGACCCTGTGGATCGGGGAGATGTCCACAGTGGCATGCGGGGGAGTGGACACCTTGTGAAACTTCGCGATGTTTCAATTGGAAAACTGGTGATTTTATTTATCCCTTTGTATTATCCAACTGTTATGAATTAACGAGTGAATACATGAATTTTCAATTAGAGATGATTATAGATGGACTGATTGATTGACGGAATGCTCTGATTTCTCTATTCTAACAGCAATGCAAAGAAGAGACGTAACGTGTCGCCTTGTTGAAGATGTGAATGGCACAACGAACGTAACGATTCTGGAATCAAGCAAATGCGATGACGGAATCAGGCCACCCCAGAGGCAGGAGTGTTACAATGACATTTGCAAAGGAGTGTGGAGAGTTGGCGAGTGGTCTGAGGTAAAATACTAACTGAAGATCACTAAAGGTAACTGAAGCCCCCTCAACCCAACATGATAAAATTGCCGTTTTCAGTGCACCGCCTCGTGCGAAGAGGATGGAATAAAATACCGAATTCTCCAGTGTGTCTGGTTTGGCACGAAAAAACCAGCAGGGAATGCCTGCAGGGACATCCCAAATCGTCCAGCTGTGATGAAAATATGTCAGGGTAAACCGTGTCCTAAAACTCCAGGTGAAGACCCACAAAAACTTATATCATATTTTCTGTAATTCCTGCAGTACGAAATTGTCTGTCAGAAAATTCAACGAGTTGATTTTTATTTTCTATTGCATGACGTAGATGTTCATTGTGACAGGCTGTTTGTTTTTTTTTTCTCAGTGCGTGCTGAGAGTAACGAAAGCATTTGAATTTTCATGTTCAGGGGTTTGCGAGGACCACTCACCACTCTGCAACAGGGTGAAAATGATGAACATGTGTCAAGTGCCACTGTATCAAAAACAGTGCTGCAAGTCGTGTCACTAGACACCGAAATAAAAAAAAACCAACGAACAACTTTCGCAACTCGCCCAACGAAAGTCAATGGGATTTAAAAAATTAGATAACTTTCGAGTTAAAAATGAGATGAGCGTAGGAGAGGCAGAGTAAGAGGTGAATCCTCATTCATAGACAGATAAAGTTATTTATTTTGCGCACACTTCGAATCTTTTACCCTATAAGCAAAGAGTGGGTGACTGTACCTCGAATTTTACAGAGCCACCAAACCCTTCTTCCCTGAATTCAATGCGAAGAATGACGATGATTACCTGAGAAACGATTGAGATGTTGTTAAAGTTCAATGATAAATTGCTAAAGGGTTTAATCTATCCACGAAGGATTATCCATGTGAAATTTTAATACTTGAATGATTTTTTCGGTTGCTGAAATTCATTTATCGACGAATCGTACTGGCGGATATGAACGTAACTGGTGAATTTAATTAATTGTAATCATCCTCGCTAGGTTAATTTTTTAACAAAATCCAATATCCATTTTTTACACATTTATTGAATAATTTACCACTCTTGGATGAATTTTTTTAATTCCGAAGTAGATATTTTTGAAGACTGAAAGAGACTTTGTAAGTATTCCTTTCTGCATGAGAAGAGAAAACCCCTAATTCACATTCCATGAATGGAAATGAATATTTAAAAAATGGAAAACTTTTAGAGTTGATTTAACTTATTATCCTGTTATCGTTGAATTTCACGGTGAATAATTTACTAGAAATTAAAGAATATTTATAGATAAAATAAAAAGAAAAACACTGAGTAAATTATTAAAAGCCTACACACCAACCCTCAAGGATCGTACGTAACCCTATTGAATGTAAGCGATAAATAAGTAATGTAATATAATATTTTACTAAGATAACCAGTGAATAAAGAGGAATAATAAATTATTCGTTGAATATTTTATCATTCATCGACGTGGCTCGAGGAGTACGTGCCTCTCTTTCATAAAAACATCAATCAGAGCTCCTTCTATCATTTAAACAATTAACACAGTTGGCATTTTACAAAAAATAAAATAAAATAAAAACAAATCATGTAACTGCTATCTCCAGCACCGATGCATTAGATATAATCGAAAGCTCTCGACGAATTCGCCATTCTCACGTAACAAATAAGCGCCAAAATTATATAGCAATTAAAAAATATAAATAAACCGAAGAAAGAATGAAAGCCCCACTGTTGGATATTCTCACGTTTATTCAATTTATTTTCTAATTGAGAGAATCTCAAAGGAGTGTTGATTGAATTTTCATTGAAATTTCATTTTATGTGATTTCTGAATTTTCGTACGTCAACGCCGAAAGTAAAACCTAATTACCTAATTATAAATTAGATCAACGATTTTTGTATATAACTAACACAACACAATGTAAAATGGTTACTGCAATATTATCAAATGAAGAGTATTATTATTGTTCATTACATCTGTATGTAAATATTGTAACTGCCTATATATAACGATATGAAAAATAAAATGGGAGAAGGTATATCACTGCATAAACAATGTAACATTATTTTCTCCTAATAATTGACTGATCTACAGAGAAATTGTTAACAATTTTTAAGAATAATTGTAACAATTATTCTTCGAAAATTTGAAAATTTCAATTTCCGTGTCTCAAAAAAATTTTGTTAACAGATTTGATTTTTTCTGTTCTAACAAAAAAAAGAAAATATAATTGATCGGAAATGATTAATCCTCAGCTCTGGGGATTAAAGTCCCCACAATTTCAAAACTTTTTCCTCTTCCATAGGCCATAATTCTCTCAATATGGCCCACCCATTCTGGGCGGTGATCATGACGTAATCATTGTTTGGATTTTCCAAGTGCGAGTACGCCCCCAGGACAAGACTCTGACAGAGCCTAGCACAAACCCCAGTCTTCAAAATCTTTCTCTCCAACTCTGATATTTTTCTCACACTCACGTATCCCTCGACAACGTGCCTTCCACTTTCAATATCCCTCACCTGTATAATCATGTAACACAGAGTGATAATCAACTCGAAAATAAGACACGAGTGGTGGCTATCCCCGAAATCGATGACAGTGGCAATTTTATCGTGAGTGGAATTGACAATCAAATTCTGCTCGTTCAAATCCCCATGGATCAGCCCCATTTCGAAGTACTCGAGGTCTCCGAGTATGTCTCGCTCAAAACGTGCAATGACTTTTTCCACTAGAAGTCTGTCCTCTTCATTTTTAACGGCGTATGTGTAGTCACGTAATTTTGGGGTTGCAACGAGCATCCATATGAACTCTCGGGTTTGGAACGAGGGATGAGAGAATCCCCTCAATTTTTCATCTAAATCCGCGGAGATACGGCCGACGTCTCGAAGAAGATTGCTCGAGGGTTTTACGTTGTACAAAATTTCCCCTGGACAATAGACTAAGAGGCGAACCTGAAAATATCATCTCGATATGATTCTATACTTAACAAGAGCATAAGGAAATTTAAGTAGAAGTGGGTGGTTCCATTTAAATTGGTTCAGTATTAATTAAGACTGCGAATGTATTTTTTAGCAAAAATTTTTAATGCATTTGAACCTTTTTTTTTCTCCAGCCGACAAAAAATTAATATACTTGAACTTCCTTAAAAAAATTTCAATCAAAATTCAGAGACACCTACGAGATTTTTATTCTGGGTGCCCTCTCCAAAATCCTCTAGAGAGTAATAACTTCCTTCCAAATTCATCACCGGAATGGGACATGAAATTGAATTCTGATGGAGATATAACATCATTTCGTTCTGGCCTTCCACTAGAGAGACATTCCGTGAATCCATCGAGTTCATTATCTTCAATACATATCCATCACTCTCGATCGATTTTACGTGAGGATTTTCAAATCCCTGACAGCAGGTGATCCGCAAATTTTTATCGTCATATCCGTTTAATTCCTTCAAACTCTTCACTTTGAATCCGTACAATTTGCGCACAATTTCAATTGCAACTTTCATTGACACCTCTGGCCGCTTCCGTTTTTCAACATTAACATTATCCATTGCAATATTTTTATGTCCAGCGATTGCACAATTACTGCCGATCGAATCAATTCTCCGTGGAAAAAATCCTCTGATTACAGTAATTGCAGTCACGAGGTAATTGACTTTCCACAAGCAACAAAAACGTTACGTTTTTTTATTGAGAAATAAATTTCCACTTACACCGCCTCATACGAGGGGGAGATAATTGACTGGTGGACTGATTGTCTCGAGAGCAACTAAATAGCAGTTTACTCATTTGATAGTGCAAAAATAGAATTCCCCTATCACCCGCCTGTTGTGATAATACACCTCGATAAAACGTAGACAAATCTGCAATCAATTGATAAAATTCCGTCAGACCCTCACATTTCATACCAGAGCAATTATCGCGGAATCAATTAATTGATGAGATAATTTTTTTATCAGTGATCATATCAACTGGAGAATCTATAAAAATGTATTTTACCAACTGCGCGACTTGCACCGATCGATAATAAACCGTTAAAACATCCGGAAAGATCTACTTTATCGACTGCTGATAAATCTACCTCTCGAATCCTCAATTTTTTGAAAGTGGAATTACAGAATTGAGAAACGATGCGAAAGACCTCGATTTGCGAGAAAAATTGATAGCCATACGATGAAGAGTAACTGGACTTGTTTATAATTTAGGAAAATGGCTCCCTTTAAGAATTGAAAATCTAACGATCGAGACGATTAAACGACATAAAAAGCCATTCAATCACTGAAAATAATTGAGCCTCATGCATAGACCGGCTCATTCGACTTTCACTCCCGGATTTTTCCGCAGACCGCAGCTCATTTCTTTTCCCATTTCTCTTTCTCCATTAGACCAGTGAATCTTCCACTCTCCAGTTACCGCGAAAAAAAAAAAGAAAAAATAAAATGAAATACGGGGAACAAAGTGAGAAACGGTAAAGACATGAAACAGTACTCGTCTATCCGGTTGGGATTGAGTTTAGACGAGGACAAAAGTATGAAGAAAAAAAAAATGAGACGAACCTTAGAACGAAACTTTCCCGTGAATGCTCGCGTTATCCTCACGTACATGAAATACCGGTCAACTAAGTATACTGTGTATTTACTTGAACATCAATGTTCTACAGTTAGGTGAGGTCAGGTCAAAATCCACGGCAGGTTGAAATTTACGAAGCATCCTGTTTGACCGCTTCCTACCCGACACCTTCGGTTAATTTCTAGCTTGAGAAAATCCCTTTGAAAATTTATTATCCGAGTATTTACAGCCCAATGAGCAAAATGAGGGACAATGATGGTATACTTTATGACTAGGCTCGACCATTCTCAGCATTCCAAAGGTCTAAGGACAATTGAACATTTTCCACCGGATTTTCCCCCAAGACTCTTGGAAATTTGTGAAAATTACAGCTGCAGTTTCAGCAATTTGTAGAGAAACTGTACTTCTTGGGTTAATTATTCATCGAAATCTACTGAATTACTGAGAAACAGGAATCATTACAGACTATTATTAAGAATCCTCGACCCAACACTCAAATAATATAATAATCCTAAAATATTCCAAGACAAGCCTTAAATAGTCCCCAAATAAACTAAAAAATTCCAAATACTTGGATATCTTCAGGAGATTTAAGCTTTAAAGAACTGGCGCAATTAATATTTCATAAATATTCGATAAACCCAGAACTCGAGCCACCTGTATGAACTTTTTGCAATGGCCCAATTCCCAATATATTAATACGTAATGCCATCCGACTATCGAATGAAGAAAAAAATAGAATAAAAAAAAATCCACCCAACAAAACCGAGATATCGTGACTATAGTAAACCATGAATCGAATAATAATGCATCGACGACTGAAAAAGACTCGATAGCAATTGAAAAATAAAAAAAACGCGAGGATGAATTGATAATGAGCCAAGTGCATGAAATTTTGCTGGGTGTCCATCTATATTTAGTTGAATAGGTTGAATAGCATTAAGCGAAAAGGATATAGGTTAGGTTGGTCGAAATAGCCACCGGCATTCTCTCAATGGCGAAATGCCTCGTGCAAATCTCTAGCTCCCATAGATGAGATAAGACCGGTGTGATATTCCATATCTTCTGCCTAATTCCAACAAATTTCATCGTACCAGCAATAAATTACAGAGCCAGTCTCAAAAATCGTCGTAAAAAGACAAATACTATCCGAATGTTCATTATTCTCCCATCGCGAGGCATCTGATATCGGTTAATCGATTTCCGATTCGAGGGCATGTGTAATGCTTCTTTGCAACACTCCGCAAACAATTGAAAATTATTGGTCGAGTTGAATAGGTAAACTGCGAGTAAGAAATTCATGATAGCAAATTAATTGCAGAGTATTAATGAATAATCCCGGAGGTAAGTTGACCTTGGAGAGTTCTCGAGAAATATCAGGGTATCTAGTATTACCACTAAAATTTGAAAATTCACCTTTTTTACAGAACTATTTATCTCCAAAAAGACTGATAACAAAAATTTCACTATTGGTCTTAAAATTCGAGATATTTGTTAACAAACGAAAATCTATTAAAATCGTTCAACCATCTCGATTCTGAAATCTCAATTTTAATTTAAATTCACATGTATTCTGCCTCGTGTCTCTCACACTTGTGCAAATCTCCGAAGCATTCGGGCTTATCATTTTTATCATTAAACTATTCGTCACTATTCCCTCCAATGTATTTTATCAGATTTCCCTTATCTGATCCCAACTCGACAATTTCTCTGTACAAACACGTGAAAACCGTAATAACCATTGGTGAGGGATTTCCCATGGAATAAATTCCCCATTTTTTTTTTTTTCGTTCGAACACCCGCGATGGTTTCGTCCCTAAAAACGGTACATCTGCTCGTCTTCACCTGCGCGTTCAACCGGCAGCTGTTCCCCTTTGAAATAAACCCGTACCCATCGGCTTTATGTTGACTGGTGGCGCGTGCCCCAGGATGCGAGGGGGGAAAAAAAATTTTCGGGGGGGAGGAAAGGGGAAAAATTAGGCCTTTGTTTTAACCGGACCCCCGGGTTTGCCCCCCAATTGCAATTCCAGCGTGCTGATTCCTCAGAATTCGTGATGAATCTAGTGTATAAAATTAATCTGAATAAATTGGGTATTTTTCCACGGATAAAAATATGTTTTCAGTTAGTTATTACTTGCCACATGTTAAATAGAGCGGCGTCGATCCATAATCAATGGTACGCATGCCCAGGCACATGCGCAATTGTTACTCGTGTCACCCTCGTGTTAAAAAGAGCAACAAACCCCTCGTCCAATATTATATCATCAATTCAAGAAAATTATTCACCATCGAACACTCAAATCTTAATAAAATTACGAAATTATATCGTTTTTTAACCGAACATTCCGCAATTTTTTGCCTGCCATTCGAGTAATAAAAATTCGCCTTTAATTCATTACGATATTCAATTAACAAATGTGGAGACTTCAGTTATAATTTTTCTAAGGATTTTTTCAAATTTTCGCAATGATAAAAAAAATATATAACGACGGTTAAACCATCATTTTATCTCAAGTCACGCCAATCTCGCAACTAAAAATACCCCCTCCTGATAACCCATTTTCCCCCCAAAAATACCAAGAATCAAACGAAATTAACATCACTCCAAGGAATAGACAGCACCGGAAGTGTAAACTCACGCGGAACTTCTAGAACTTTCCACATCCACTTCCCCTCTCAAAAACGTGGGAAAAAACCCGAAAAAAAAACTTACCCAAAGAGAGTACCCCGACGCCAAACGTCAGCCCCATTTTCCCGGAAAAGTCCCCGACACCAGGTTGCCGGAAAACCTGGAAAACTAGTAGGGAGGGGAGCCATGGGGTCAAGATTCCCCTAGTGCCGTTCCTGTCCTAACCGGCACTACAAACAATCTCGAATCCCATCCGGAGCACCTTGAAACCCAAAATGCAAGCCCCGATAGCACAATTGACAATAAATAAAACAGAATGGATAAAAAATAATTGAAAAATCATAACTCACCCCTCGGCATCTGTTGAAACCCCATGACCAGTTAAATAAACGATGAAAGAGTTGGACGACTGCGCGCGATATGAGAGAGACGGTATTAATGTAAAAATAATGGTATGAAAAGGGGAGGTAAATTTGTGGAGCGCCACCTAGAAAGGAGCGGGAAAGACTGGGGTTTGAAGGCCGATGGTGCCGGTGGCCGGGTGGTGGGATAGAGACCGAGACTCCTCTGCCATTTGCGCGTCGGTAGTCAAACCGTAGTGTTACCTCGGCTTCACCCTCGTCCACATCGTATTTTACCTCAGGAAAATTCCAAGTGTCCGACTAAAACCCCAGTGCTTCCCCCATTCTAACACTAAAAACACCACAATGGCTGATGTCGAGACAAAGTGAGTAAACCAGAAGTGAATTTGAAGTAAACCACCCGATTAATTGAAATATATTAACGAATAATGTACGAGCCGTTACTCGTGGCCAAGAGCACGCTATCGAAATATTCCCCTATCATTACCCAATTATTATCAAACCCAATCATCCACCGGTATCACTACATTCAATCATCACTTTGGCACGTGTTGTTTCACTGGAAAATCCGTTTTTAGGGATATTTTCTTTTGATAATTTAGCTGGTGCGGGAATTCGGCGGGAAGTACGACCACGCCGTCGCGTGTTTTCTTCGCGGTTCGGTCGATTAATCGAAAAACATTTATCGATGAGATGAGGATACGGGGGAATTTAATTTCAGTGATGGAGAAGTAATGATAATTTACGGGAGTTATTCAGTGGCATCGTGACGCCACGAGGGGGAGGGAGAACGGCGATGGAAAACGGGGTTAAGAGGGGAGGGAGACGCCAACCGAGTTATTTTTTGCACATCGGCCCACGCACCTTTCGAATCCGCGGGATTTGACAGCCCCCCTATGCACTTTTTTTTTCTGATCGTTATCCAATAAACGATAATATTTATCGTTCGTTAATCCGGGGACGGCGGGTGTTACTTCGGGGGAAGGATCTTCACGGTGTGTTGTATTTTCGCCGGTTATCGAGTCAAAGATTTTCATTTTTTTTTTCTTTTCTTGCTCTATGGGTAGACTTGGGATTTGGGTCGGCCGATTCACAACGGATACTGGATAAAAGACTTTTGTTTGAGACTGTACGAGCGAGCGACGCGTTCAAAAGAGAACGGCCGTAATATCGATCCACTTGGCCGTCCTCTCGACGTTGCCCCCTAGATAGTCTATTTTATTTCTCCATAGAGTTTGTTTTCATAACATTGAGTGCCATTGGTCAATCTGTTTCCGGGTATTTTTTTGATTGGTCGGTTATTCATTTGGTTATCGAGTGTTGTGTGACTGCCGGTGATGTCCAGAGAGGCGGTGCATGACGCCGATTTTTGGTTGGAGGGGGGTAAGGAAGCCCTTGGTGATTTGCCGCGCGGTGATCCGTCGTTAGGGGGTCAGGGGAAATTTTTGTTTGAGTTGGTACAGAGGGCACCACTTGGAGGTGATGCCCCTCGATGGCGGGACAACAGTCAAATGAAAACATTGGGGGGGGGGTTCAGCATGTTTTGACTGATTTTACCGAAAAAATATACCGTTTGTGTCAATCCTGGATTTGTTTTGGTGCAGGGAAACCACAGTCGCCTCTCCAGAGAAGAAAGTAGTGGAGGAGGTTGTTGAGAAGAAGGAGAAGGAAGTCAAGGAAGTAGAGGAGGTAGACGAGGACTCAAGGGCATCTGAGAATGGTGATGCCAAAGAGGCCAAAGAAAATGGTGAGGAGAAGCCCGTTGAAGAGAAAGAGGCAGAGTCCACAGAGAATGGTGATTCCACAGGTAAAATTAATATTTCCAATTCGTCAATCATTTTCCTCTCACTATCCACATTTTTTTGGTCTGCGAATAGCAATAATCAATAATTAATCGACACAGTTTGATAATGAGACGGTTAATTATGTGCAGATGCCCCTGCTGATGCCTGTAGCATAAAAAGAAAATCCACAGCGGGTGTAGAGGCAAGTGCAGATGCACCAGATGGCGTAAGTCCCGAGAAAAAAGCTAAACTCGAGGATAAACCGGTGGAATCTGCTGAGAGCAACGGTGACACAGAGACCGCGGCCTAATATATCAAAAAAACATAACTAAAACGTTTAAAAAACAACCAACAAAACCATCCCCTACACTCTAATGAACATTATCACACATCCAAACGTGGAGTCAGAGCATTAAAACAATTATTTCATCGTCGACGCATCGGAGAAAACCCGTGAAAGAAATGACAGTTCTTTTTTATTATTATTTTCTACTTTGATTTTCAACAACTGAACAATAAAACTGTACTTAATATACGTGCACTCAATTTATGATAATTGAAGTTAATAAATAAATGTGAATTATATAAATGCATATCTGTTGCATAGTAATCTAGTATATTTTTTTTCCCAGGAGTTTTCTCCGATGCACAATTCACACACACTTAACTCGTTATATTGTTACAATTTTGAGATGAAAATGATAAAAAAAAAAGTGAATAGTGGATAATTTATCCATTGAATATATTTGTAATTCGGAGTTGGATTTAATGCGGTGCTGTGAGGGATTCAGATTGTCATTAAATGCCGAATTAGTAATGGAAAAAAAAGAACTATAAATTTTAAAGATAACAAAGTTTATGTGAACGGCATTGATGGTAAAGATAGTTATTTTTCTGTGAAACTAAATACATTCCTGTATTACGGAACCACCAATTTGGCGATAAAAGTAGTTAATGCAATGACAACTGTTTGACATAATATTTTTTCTCATAAAAGGATTTTCTATTTTATCACTAATCATTAATCGTTTGAGAATTATTATTCAGTTTAAGACTGGTTAGTCTCACATTGATTGGGGTATTAATGGTGTTTATTCAGAGATCGACTTTCCTTGGTACGTAATAAATCGTGGAGCAACTGAAACAAGTAGTCGTTCGTCGTGTATTAATGTGAAAGTGTGTAGGTTTGACATTAGACAATTTTTTCAACCGAAAATTATGATTCTTTTAATTTTTTTTCCTACCACGATTGTCATTTAAGTTCATTTTCTAAATATTTGATTTGAATCGAATACGAGATGATTTTTATTTATTGATTCAAAGTGCATTTTCAGTTCAGTTTTCTTTTTTTCGAGGATGAAGTTACAGTGCAATTGCGCAGCTAAGAATACAGACTTCATTATTTCTGACTTGTAACAGTTAATACAAAGATGTTATATTGCAGGAACGTAATAAATGTGTAATAAAATACTTGTTCCCTCTCATTTATTTATTTCTTTCCTCTTTTTACAGAAATTAATTATCCTTAATAATACTTTAAATGTTTCACCTGGGCGTTGATTAAAATATATTTTTTTTAATAATGGAGTTGGAATTCTTTCAGTCATTCAAAATTTCGATCCAGAAAATCGATTTACTCAACCGATCGTAAAGATGTGTTTGCATGACTTTTGTTGTGTAGTCGAACGAGTTTTCGATTTCATTCAAGTGAGTCACGATTTCTGGGATTCCCCGAAGTATATTGGTAAAAAAAAAATCAGTGTCTCGTGGCATTTGCCGGAGGGTCAACGCGGAATAATCGCTGGTCGAAATTCACCGGTCTTTATCTTGAAAAGTTCCGAATAACAAAAAAATCAGGATGATTTTCCTCACTCGGTATTTTTGGGCGATCCTAGTGATCTGGGGATCATTTTCGACGAATTCAGGATTCGTGTGAGTACTCATAATAATTTCAAATGCATCATCATCATTTATCCAATTAATAAACCACCAATAATTAAATTATGAGAAAGAAAATTAAGTGCTTCTAAAGTATAAAGTGAAATGACTTTTCTGCTGAATTTCATTTCTGAGGGCGCAGTAAAAACCCTCATAATATCATATCTACAACCGGCGTAATATGAATCACCATCTCAGCTATCAGATGTATATTATTTACTCTTATTTACTTCTCCACCCACGTATGCAGAATTGACATATACCGAGATGATAGCAGTCGCTCTGGGAACGAGTTAATCGATTATTCGAGTGCCAGAAAAGATACATGGGATTACGAAGTTGTGACTCTGTACAAATTCTTGAATGTATGTACAATTAATTGTTTTTTTTTATTAGTCCAAATCAAATAGTTTTAATGAATCCTAAAATAAATCCGTAAATTTCCATTTTATATGTTATACAGATATAATTGTTTTATAATTATGATTTAATATTATATTATATTATTTGAAAAATTGAATTATTGTTTATGAGATTGAGAATGTCACACCATTTCCTTTAATATCAGGCGGAATATTATGGAATAATTCGTATCGGACGTCCTGCGCAAGAATTCAAAGTGGTATTTGATACAGCCTGGGGTGACTCATGGGTGCCATCTCAACATTGTGGATTCACAGAATTGTCATGCAGTGAGACATAAATTAAAATCAATCAATCTCTCAATCTGCAAAATTTGAATGATTTCCCTCTAATTCTTCCACTTTTCAGTGCTTCATAAGCGATACGACAGCTCAAAATCCTCGACGTACAGAGAAAATGGTACACTATTCTCTCGAAAAGATTCAGAATTGGAACTCAGTGGATTTCTTTCTGTGGACAATTTTCACGTGCGTTCAAAAAATTATGCCCACTCGAGATGCAGAAAATTCCATAAAAATCATTTAATGTATCTCAATTTCAACAGTTGGAGCATTTGGAAGTGGTCAACCAGACATTTATCGAAATGACCCACATGTCGTGGAAGCCATTCTCCTTCTGGAAAGCTGATGGGATCATTGGCTTGGGCTGGAAGACTTTAGCCATCGATGGAACAGTTCCATTTTTCTACAATATGATCAAACAGAAGATTGCGAAGCAAAATATATTCACATTCTATATGAATCGGTGAGGGTATCACGAAAAATTGAAATTCTGTGTTTATTCGTGGTGAAATAATTGCAGAGATGAAACAACGAATAAAGCGGGGAAACTGATTCTGGGGAATACTGAGAGATCTCATGCCAAAGGCAATCTGACGTACGTGAGGGTTGTAAAGAAGGGCTATTGGACGATTGTAATGGACAGGTATTGATCGAGTCTCACCTCGTGTTATCTCATTCGCACAAACATGTTTCATCTATTTTTCATGCTCTAGGTTGACAATCGAGGGGAAAAAAACTAACAAAACATATGCTTTCTGCAAGAATAATTGCCAAGTTGTGATGGACACGAGTGCTAATACTATCAGTGGACCTGCCAATGAAATTCAGGCCATAAATAATTTATTGGGGGCAAAACAAGTGTGGCCTTATTGGCCTTATAAATACATGGTAAATTTGCTGTTATTTATTGGTCGGAAAATTAATGACAATTCAAAGAAGACGGGATTTTAACCTGTGGAAAAATCCCATCTATTGTCCGATTTTTCACTTAATGAAATTTATTTTCTGGGGGGGAAATTGTTTTGATACAGGAATAGTTTTTATTTACTCGTGTAATGATTTCAATTTTATAGGTACATTGCCGTGAATACGCATTGTTACCTCATGTTACCTTCGTCTTCAATGATAGAGAATTCACGATAGAATCGAAATATTACATTCAACACGTAAGTATATTAGAAAAAAATTAACTCATGCTTTATAATCAATAAAGATTTTTGAGTCATTAGAACATTGTGAAAAATTCACACTTGTAAATTGAAATTCGCCGGAAATTTGCAAAAACGATTCATCTCAAAGAACTCATTATAAAAAAATGAGTTCTCCCAAGATTTCCAAAGAATAATTTTGTCTAAATTAGTCTTGAGACTTTTCTCGAATTTTCGAATAAATTACAGGTGGTGTACGACGGAGTCGAAGCATGTCTCTCTCCATTTGTGCCAAGTCCCCTCGATATTTGGGAATTAGGAGGTGCATTCCTGATGCAATTTTACACAGAATTTGATTTCGATAACGAGCGCATTGGAATTGCAGAAACAGTGTTCTAAATAACCAAGACAGCATTTTCATATAATTCAAAACTCACCAATTGTTATTTTTCTATGAATGAAATAAAAGTTCACTTAAACAATTAAAAACATGATTTTTTCCGAAAGCATGGATTTCACATTGAATCCGTTCATTAAATAATCAGATGATTTCCAACGAATTATCTTATTATTCAGACATTTTTTCTGTAATATAAATATAAATAAAAACATGTCTATATTACCACAGATTTAAGAATAATCCCAGGATATTTCTCTTCAGGATCAAACTAACTCGATTTTCAAGTACTTGATTTCCCTCGAAATCCGTGAAAGCCTAATAACTACGTAAGATTGCAATTAAATTACTGATTAGTGACACCAAAGTCCGATATATGTCCAGTACACTGGTAAAGCACATCCTTGGTTGGACATTCAGAGTCACATGACCTAGGATGATTCGACGACAATCCACTGGGGGTTAAGATCGCATCGCACTCGAGTGCAATTGTCATAACGTTTTTGGAGCACCAGCTGAGCACAACAGAGGCTTCCTCTTATTATCATCCCTGAATATATTATAAATAATCAATCAACATTGGCAAAATGCTGCGACTCGTGGCGTTTCTTGCCTTTGTCCTCGCAATCGTCAATGCTGATCTTGTGAGGTGAGTCATTTACTCAAAAATATCTCCATCCATTGTCGTTTGACAATTGAATACGTCGTGATTATTTTCTCTGTGTCTCAAGTCTATCAACAATAGAATATTTGAACAATGATATCCACTTCAAGTTTACAAAATTCATTCACTGTGAATTTCTGTTAATCGCAAATCCATTGGAAAAATGGACAAGACATTGAATTGAGATTCAATTGAAAATTATTTTCAATTGTTTATCAATTATTATTCTCAGCAGAAAATCTTGTATTCTGTTGAAAATAATTCGTTAATTGCAAAAAACGCAAAAACGGCAGTTTGAAGATATATTTTTATTTATGCTAAATGCCGTTTGGATGGCGAGACATTAGTCTTTCAACTTTAATTGTTGCTCGTGTTAATTACTCTATCCAAAACACCTGTCAATGAGACAATAAAGCAATGAAATTGAATAGAACTTCAATGTCAAGAAAATTTGCATTCGTTCATCCAGAAGGAAATACAATAAGAAGTCGGCAATTTCTTGACTCATTGTTTTATCTTCAGCATTCCCGGAAAAAGGGTGATATTTACATTATTTCCTTCGTCACCAACTTGGAACTCATTGTTCCTCAAACTATTCTCCTTTATTCTCGCCTCTTATTCCTCCAGACGAAATGACTTCGAGATACTCACAAAACAAATAAAGTCAGGAAAATTGAAGATTATAAATTGACTCGACTCAAGTTATTTTTATTGAAAAGATAAGAGGTCGTTCTGATAACTACCAGTTTGACCTTTTCAATTAGAAACAGACGCCACCACTTGTATTGACAATCTATTTCATGAAAAAAAAAACGACTTACTTTTAACTACGGACTTGTGGAAATTGACCTTTAGAGTTCCAGTCCATCGGATCAGTACTGTGAGAAAAACCCTGAAGGAGGTGGGAACTGACCTCCACCAGGTGCGAATGAGATATGGAAACCAAAGGGAAGGACCAGAACCTCTTTCCAACTACATGGATGCTCAGTACTATGGGGAAATTAGCATTGGTACTCCTCCACAGAAATTTAAGGTCGTCTTCGACACCGGCTCCTCGAACCTCTGGGTACCCTCCAAAAAATGCCACTTCACCAACATCGCTTGCCTCTTGCACTCCAAGTACGATAGCAGCAAATCATCGACTTATCAGAGCAATGGGACACTTTTTGCTATTCAATATGGATCGGGCAGTCTTTCTGGATTTCTGTCCAATGACAATGTGAATGTAAGTTCTTCCGAGGAATGAAAATATGGAAATTATATTTTTCGTTGGGAATTTATTCAATCACGAAAAAGTCTCAATTTTTTCACCCCAAATAGAATTATTTGTGAGACAAATAAGGAGGTTATTGGAAATTGGATTATTTGGAAGATAGACAATATCTCCATGAGATCGTGATTGATGCCATCCGAGAGAATAATATTTTTCCTTGTACAGATTGCAGGGTTTGACATTAAAAACCAGGGATTTGCTGAAGCCCTGAGTGAACCGGGACTAGCTTTCGTGGCCGCTAAATTCGATGGTATTCTCGGTATGGCTTACAAGAGCATCGCAGTTGATGGTGTGACCCCCCCATTCTATTCCATGTATGATCAAGGATTGATCAAACAGAAGATATTCAGTTTCTACCTCAACAGGTGGGAATATTCGAATTACTTCGAGAAAGTTACTATTTTAATTCTTGATTTTATTATCATGATTATTCTCCAGAGATCCAAATGCTACACCTGGTGGTGAGATGATCCTCGGAGGATCCGATCCAGAACATTATCAGGGAGACTTCACGTATATCTCAGTGGATCGTCAAGCTTATTGGCAGTTCCAGATGGACAAAATCATGGTTGGCGATGCTACATTCTGTCAAGACGGTTGCCAGGCAATAGCCGATACTGGCACCTCTCTCATCGCTGGGCCAGTACTGGAAATTGCAGCAATTAACAAAGCAATCGGTGCCACTCCTCTAGCCGCTGGAGAAGCGATGGTCAGCTGTGACCTTGTCCCGAATTTACCCAAAATTCAATTCATTTTCGGTGGTAAATCATTCGCCCTCACAGGAGACGATTATATACTGAAAGTTAGTCAATTTGGAAAAACGATATGTCTTAGTGGATTTATGGGAATTGACATTCCACCACCCAATGGACCCCTTTGGATCCTCGGAGATGTCTTCATCGGTCGTTACTACACGGAATTCGATATGGAGAACAATCGCATTGGTTTCACCGACGCCAAATAGATCCCTTTTCCGAGATTATCCTCATTTGATCAAATAATTCAACAAACAGAATTACATTTACTCGAATTCGCTATTTTCGATTGATTTTTGATTTTTTTTTTTAGATTTTAGGTGCCACTCGTATTGATTTATACTCGCACGCGAACAAAATACTTCCTTAAATGATTTGATGATGTACTAATCAATTGTCTGTTGAATTCAATAAATGCGAAGAGGCCGGTATTTTGTATCAAAAAAATGTATCTGTTGTTTTTACATTTTCCTTCAAAATTTCTTTCGCGCCCAACGTCATTTTGGATATTAGGTTGCGCGATACCGATGCGCGTCACGTCGCTTCAATATTTTCAACAATTTTCAACGATGGCGGCCATAAACAAGGCAAAACCAATAGTTAAATATATTCTGGGGACGTGCATGCCCTCGGCGAAGAGCAATGCAGCGAGAATAAAGATCCGACGATTTGAACTCGATCAGAATCTCCTCATGGTATGACACGTCTCTATTCATTAACTCAAGTGTTTTCTTCACGATTTTCAAGGTTATGAGTGCTCTGTTTTCAGTATTGGAATGAATTCTCCTTCGTCTTTGCTCACGATCCAAACAAACTCTGTAAAACCGGAGATACTGTTTTGATCCAGGAATTGCCTCAGAAGATGACTCGCCTTATCACTCACGAGGTAAACAATGCATTCATCTTTTTGTTTGCTGTTTGTGTGTGATTATTGCTTATTTAATTTTTTATATGGGAAAGGTTGTTGAGATTATCTACCCCATGGGCGATATCACTGATCCTGTGACTGGTAAAAAAGTTGTAGTCAGTAAATACAGGTGCGTCACTATTAAAATCATTAATCATCCCTTTTTTGCATTAAATTGCTGGTATGATGATTTTTTGAATTATTTATTATAGGGAAGAAATAAAAGAAACGAACGAGCTTTATGGAGAGGCCGAGAGTGCCTTCAACTACGAGGAAAGGCCCCCACGAGGTACCCTAGAGGATAAACTCGATTTTTCCCACAAACCGAGTTACGTAAAATATCACGAGGACGGCACACCTCAGCCCTATTCAATCTAATGTACTCATAATTATCGAATAAAATCCTTATCTCGTTAAAAAAATTTATTCTCACTCATACGAGATTACAAATGGATTCGATTTATCCGTAAAATTCGGCGAAATATCAACAGAACGTGAAATATGTAAATCACGTATTTACCTCCGTACAAATATTTCGAAGTCGTGTGAATGTACAATTTTGATAACATGATTAGAGGATAATGGGAAAAAAATAATTTCATAATGTACAATTCGTGTAACAATACTTGACTCGTCGATAAATCAAGTATTTAGTACTCATTCCGACAAAAATTCACGCTCCAACGCGGCCCCCATGGCATTCCATTCTCTGTCATCGTCTTCCTCCGCTGGATCGTCAATCTCTTCCACGGAATCCTGTGAATCCCCCATTTCCAGGTCGTCTGGTAGCCCCTCACCTCGCCTGAATCTCGTGATTGGGTCGTCGTCGTCATCTTCGTTATCTTCGTCGTCGTCGTCGTCGTCGTCGTCTTCGTTATCTTCGTCTAGTCTCTCTCTGTCTCCCGAGGATGATGAGGAGTTATCGTTTATCTTCCTACGTTTCGTGGGTTCATATTCCTCTAGAGGAGACGATGAAAAATAATTAAACATTGATTGATTGATTATGAAATTAATCATGGGGCAATCCCGATAATTCATCAATTCATGAGAATAATGATCGATTAATTACCATCAGAATTATCACTCTCATCGATTTCTCTCTTGATCCCCAAATCTTCAACATCAACAACCGACGAATCCATCTCAGGATCCGTCATGTCCTCGTCGACTTCTTTATCCATGCTCTCGATCTCTTCTTCCGTGAAAGACATTAGAGGATTTATTGTATTGGCAAATGTATCTGTCACTGGATTTTCAATCTCAATTCGATCTGGACTACTACAATGTGGAGGCGGTATTCTGGATCCCCTTGCCTATTCATTGAACGTTAAAAAATTGCTGAGCATTTTTACTACCGAATCTCAATAGATTCCCAAAGCTATGTATCAAGAACAAAGCCTCATCATCACGATAATGCGACAATTTTAGGATCTTCTATCTATCTTACCTTGGCAGTCAGTGGAAACAGCCTCTCATCGACTCTCTCCCAACGTTCTGCACACGACCAAAGCCAATCAGGATTGACTATTTTAATGCCTGAATTCTTTTTCGCTGCATACACCTTTGCAGTCCCTGGCTTGATAGCCACTAAATGTGTTGTTTTCACAGTTAGATCCTTTGAAAAAAAATGAAAAAAATTGGGTTATCCTCCCCAGAACTCCAAGAGAGAAATTTTACCTGTTCAACCTCAGCTCCGAAAGCTTTAGCCACTCTGTAAGCTCGACTGTCTTCCAATTTCTGCTGTGTTGGAATTAATCCACTGAAAGTCAACTGTAATCCCTGGAGGACACGTCTCTTGACCTTGGGGATGATCTCCCTCAGGGGTTTCCTCTCTCCCCTGTCTATGTGTTCGTAGAATTCCGCGTGAATTCTCCTGAGAATGTCTTCGAGGTACAATAAATAATCGTCGTGGTCGTCATCCTCAGCTGAGGAATCTTTTTTACTCCCAGCAACATCCACTTTGTTTTTCTCTTTGTCCTCCTTGGCCTCTTCTTTACTCTCTTTGGAATCCTCGATGTTCCCTTCCCCATTTTTATCTTCCGGTGGTGGGCTATCGTCTCGAGACTCTTCACTCGTTGGTTTTGATTCTTCGGATGGGTTTTCTTTTTTAGACTCTTCTGTTGTGGATTCTTCAACTATTGATTGGGATTTATCTGTTGGGCTACTTCCCTCAGATTTATCTACCACAATTCCATTCTCTCCCTTCCTGATATCATCCTTATGTACAGTTTCTGTGATATTAGATGATTCATTAGTGTCGGCAATCTCCGGCAAGTCTCGTTTTTCTAGGCCTGGAGGAGCATGAATGTCACCGGTGTGCTTGAAAAAATGATACGGCTTAACTTGAACTAGATTACCACAGCCCTGCCACACATCTTCACGATCGTCAATTATACAGACTAAATCGTCACCACATGGAAACAATGCCTTCAAATTAGCTGTCTTGGATGCTGGATTGAAGCACTCATCCCTCGAGAGAATTCTATGGGAAAATAGTGCCCCCTCCTTGTCCAACAAAGCAGCCACTGTGTGCGCGTAATTTCTCGCTCCAAAGGTGCAGATGTGTAACTCATACAATTTACTCATTTCCGACAAAAAATGACGAGTGCCAGGCCTCAAACGTGTGTGATACCACGGTGAGTTTGGTCCATAAAGTTGATAGTGAAAAACGTCGTTCATGACAGCAGGCACATTGTCATTGGTCGTGTGCACAATTGTCTGATCAAGATCCACAAGGAGGGCTAGTTTACGATCACTCAGCAGCCTCTGTTCATCCTCTTTTCCAATTTTCTCAGCTAACTCCGGACAGACTTTCAACTCAGGTATACTGTGAACCATGGGAACACTTGCCTCGGACACCAGTTGACCCTGTGCCCCGTCAGCAAGAGCTTCTGCCCTCAGATCAGCCCCACACTCAGCACACAAGTCCTTCATCACTGTTGGATGTTTACAGCCTGTCATTCGTAGCAACACCTGCCTGAAACACTGATTAATTATCCTGATGCTAAAGAGAGAGTTTTAATTAATTGTAATGACCATCTAAATCAACACAGCAGTTAAAATACCATTTTTCAACAGAGATCTGACTGACGCAAATCATTTCGTTCAATATCGATGATTTACATTAGTAGCGAACAGATAAATATACTCGAATCTGAGATAGATCGATTTTTGTGGGAACCTTTTTTATGGCTCTCATTTTTCTCTACAAGAAAGGTCTCGGGAAAAATAGAGCCATCTCTGCCAGATTCCGAGATATTTTCTGGAAACTCGACTAGGGAGCTGATAAAAATCTAACTTCTCAGAAACTCTCTATCCTCATCATGCAAAAAAACTAATTAACCGCTCATGTCCGAAGGTAATTGACACGAATGAGGTTAAGCTCGACGTTTACCCAGGCTCGACAAGATCCCCAGGCTTCACCAGGAGACAATTAATCCTTCCAAACTGCGTAGCACGTAGTTTCTTCTCCCCAGTTTTCCCATCATTTCCAACCCCATGATAAAGAAGAAGGATTCTCCCAGCAGACACCATAGTATCCCTTGATACTCTCCACTTGATAATTTTCCCAGGCTGCTCATCGCTTGGAAATTTCACTTCCATCACCGACATGTTCACCCCGAATTGACACTGATATCATCAAGAAGTGACACAATGGCACACTATTTTTTAAATAACAATTTTCACTGATGCGTGCATTGGTCTCCCGCGCAAAACAACAAAAGCTCGTGGGAACGTTGAGGCATTTTGTAGGCAAACGTCCCCGTCAGGAGTAATCAACGAATTATCTTCTGGCAGTTTGAGATCTCGAGTTGGAGTAGCTGAAGTGAGAGGATCAGCTGGATGAGGTAATTCTATCTCTTTCTATCGGGCAACAATCAACAACTCTCGATAGTTTCGATCAAAGAGGATTGACTAAAGTGGAGGCTCAATTCTGAGGGTTCGAGTGACCCCAGCGGCATCATAGTACTGCACCCCAAGAGAGGGAGGACGCCACACGCAATGGGGGTGTCCGCCCGTCAGCCGATTCGGTAACTGCCTAATACTAAGGTCAGCATAAGTTGTTACTTCTCTGGGAACCCCCACTCCACGCAGTTACCACTTGTAACCATGTCCCCCACTCCTAAAATCAATGTTAAAACTTATGCTGATTTCAGTATATAGCAGTCCCGCTGTCAGAGGGACCAGTCGACGGGGTGAATGTCATTTTCTGCGTTACGAAATAGGTATTCACTGAAATTTTAAAATTTTATGGAGTTACTTAAATTTTTTACTTCACACATGGAGTAAAAAATTTAAGTGACTACCAATTTCAGTGAATACTAATTTGCTGCTGAGGCAGTAACCGAGTCGGCTGACGGGCAGACACCCCCATTGCATGTGGCGCCCTCCTTCTCTGGGGTGCAGTACTATGATGCCGCTGGGGTCACTCGAACCCCCAGAACTGAGCCTCTACTTTATTCAATCCTTTTTGGTTTCAATATCGATGTGCTTGGAGTGAAATGCAGATACCCATTCTGTCCTCTCTCACTCTATTTCAAGTATCTACTATTAAAGTACAAAGGACAACGAATCAAAACCCTGGATTCTTCTGAAGGCATTATGGTTACACCACCATTGGTTCTTTCCTCCATTCTGACCCCACGTGAATTCCAATAGTTTTCGAAAACTCTCCAGTTTTGTGTACGTTATGAATCGTATGAAGATGTTGTTTACCTTCGATTTTAACGGTGGCGTTTTGATTATTTAATTGGTGGGTTTTAATGTCTCGTGTTGTTCCATTTAATTAATCGTGAGAATGTATTTGTCTGGTGAGGAGGGAATTGATTGATCGTTAGTGTAGGTTTTGAGAATTTATTTGTTTCGAAAAATGGATAGGTCTATATTTTATGACACTGCGAGAACCACTGGCTCCTTGAAAACACCTGGGATGCAGAGGATTCGAGAGTATTTTAGTCTTGGAGCTGTGGAGCCTGAGGAGAGTGATACTGCGGATATTGCAGAATCTGTTGATAGTAATTAAATTTTCTTCCAATTATTATTTTTTTAACAGTGAGTTTGAAGTGGAAATTAGAGGGATTTAAGGTTGTGAATTGAGGCTTAATTTGTCTTTTTCTTGGGGAATATTTAGTACTGCTCAAGCAGACCTGGAACATCTGGGGGGTTTCTTCTCTCTATGGCCTCCAACAAGACAGCGAAGTCCAATTGAAACTTTATGGGAAGAAAATGAGAGAGGAAGTCGCTGCAATTCTCCCACACGAAGATGTTACTTACGAGGCTCAATTTTCCATTGTTGAGGGGATCGAGAAGAGACCGAGTGCTTCTGATCCGATTCCTCTACAGGTAAAATATTTAAAATTGGGCTTTCATTTTTTCTCCCAAATATTCAATAATTTGAAAAACTAATCGTCAATCGTATCGCCAATGACTCAAGAAACTTGACGTTTGAAGGCAATAAATTTCGATAATATTTATTGCTTAATTCAAACAGATAACTGTCCACGCAAGTCCTATCCGGACAAACGTTCCCGATCAATCTCAACAACCAGAGAAAACCGAGAAGTGCATTTACGTGGGGATAATGCTGTCATGGAGAACAGCTGTGAACGAACTGGAGTACGAGAAATCAGTGAGATTACCTCTGCTGCTGTGCAGAGGGACCAAGAGTGCCATGAAAGCTGTTCATATGACTCTGGGGAGTATGTTTGATTGCCATGTTGTTGCTCTGCCTGCTACTGAGGACGACCTGAAGTGGCTGGTGCCAATTGTCCTCCAGCCCAGCCACACAGATGATCCTCCACAGAAGGGAGAGGCCAGATTGGAGTACAAGGTTCCTGGATTGCCTATTACCGACAGTATTTCGATCAAGTTCGAAGTGGCTGATTTGACGAAGATGTGGACTGTGTAAGTCTAATATTTTCTATTGAATTCGGTAGCCCAGTGAGATAATTGGAACATAATTTTCATTATTTTTGTAATTCGTAAAAATTTCGTTAATGGGTATGGAGTCATTGTAATTTCCAGAGTTTCTAAAGAAGATGCAAATGACTCCAATGAAAAAATCAGCTTTCGGGCTCAGCATATTGAGAGATTTTACGAAGTCCTGAATAAACAGATGGTGCACTCCGCTGGACTCCAGTTAGGCCTTTGTAAATTACATAAAATAAGTCTGCCTTCATTTACGATAATGGATAATAAGGTAAAGCGATTAATTTTCTCAACTTCAATTCAGCAAATAAAAATTCTCATTATTCGGGGTTTCACAGATGAAAGTCTCGTCTGCTGAGGTCATGTCAAAAGTTCTACTATTTTTCAACGAGAAAGCTCTGGAGATACTCCACCTCCTGAATTTCGATACGACAGTCTCGACCAGTGGATAAATCCCCACTGAGATATTCTACACTATAACAATAAAATCTATTTTATTCTGACGTATAGTTTTTGTACTTTCAACCTAGCAGATGCTCAATAAAAATTCAATAATTATACGTCGTAATTCAATCCACGAAGAACAATTCTCCAAACTAAAACAAACATAATTAATTACGGCCAAGCCAGTCAATAAGTAAAATAACAGTCAAATTCGAAGAATAATTCGTAAAAAAAAATCCAAAATTCAATGTGTTCAGTCGTTACTATTTGTCTCCATCTGCAAAATAAAAATCGAAACGTTGACGAGTCGAGAATGTGAACTTGTTTGAAAATCGTATTAAATGTTCAATTCCTCACGGATAATTCAGAATTCGAGGAGATCCCCTTGCCCTTGGCACGAGCTGATATATACTGCATGAAGTCCACATACCCTTCGGGTTTCTCGTCCATTGAGGGAGGCACTGAAATCCCCAAGACCTCTGGCAACATATAGGGCTTCAGCCAAGTTACGAGAGGAGTGAATCCGTGCATGTAATACCCCTCTCTGTGATAAAATAAAAAACCATCCAGTGGTGGTAGAGCTGGCAAATTGTCGAGGAATTCCGACAAATCGTTATCACAAGACACACAAGGCAGAGGTAATATTGGGTATTCATTTCGCTTCGTTCCCTGCGACTTAAAATCCTCATCCTCAGCCAGTTTAGATTGCAACCAGAACCTACGGAATTCAGCCTTGAAAAATGAAAGTACCAATTATTCACAGATTTTCCAATTAATTCCAATCAATTAAATTCCAATGAATTCAATCTCGAATTATTTATCAGAGAATAGTTTACATCGCAGTTTAATAAAGGCTGGGTAGACCAGGCGAGGACATCGAGGGCGTAGTATGCCCTCTGTTTCGGCATCCATATGCAGTCCAGAAGGGTGCAACTCCTGCTTATCTCGTCGGAATGACCCCCTGGCAATGCAGACTGGAATTCAGTGAGTTTTTCACCGCGTCTACTGTAGGCCTCGGTCCTCCCCTTGCGGGCTACCAGTAAATTCCTCCGTCCCTTGGGACAGGGCACCATCGACCACTTGTCGACGAGATCCTCAGGCACATCCAGCATCCACTCAGACATCATCAATTTATTCGCGTACTGCTTGTTCGTAGGCCTCCTGGAGTGATGTCTGGACTTATCCACCTCCATCGGGTCTTCATTCTCCTCCTCCGAGAGGGGGAGATCCTCCAGGATGACACGTCCTGCGTTGAAGGCTGCCTCTCTGCATCTGAATGGAACGGGTCAGAGTAATGAGAAATTATTTATTTGGAAATTCTTGAAATGTAATTACTCCTTTTGGTGGTGCAATAGTCGTTTCCTTCGCACTTCCTGTGGTGTCTCCTCCCATTCAGGCTCTAGTTTGTAATTGTCTTTTTTTATCGGCTTCTTGTACAAAAACTTGCGATTGCTTTTGTCGATCTCTGTTGTTGTCTCATTCACTGGATTTTTTACTGACATTTTTTAAGGAACTCTGGGTTTATTACACGTTGTGAATAATATCGCACTGAGGGTTAGATGTTGGTGATCAATATGCTGTGGATGAATTCATCTCAGGACTCTCTTCGTTATTTATTTATACAAAATGCAATGATAACTGAGGTTAGGAGTTGAATGAGTGCCGGTGGAATTAGCTCGAGGTTTTTATTTTGACGTCTTCGTCTGTTATGAATGAAAGTATAAGACATCATGAACAAGATCAGAGAATTTTGATTTTGTCAACATCCTAGAAAATTCGAGAGATGGCGGTGAACGCGTTGTCCTTAACATATTTTTCAAATTTATTTTTATTAAAATCAGTTGCATGAAAAAATATGAAAAAAAATTGTATGTAATCGAATTGAAGCTCGAATAATTCTATAAATATTTAAATTTCATAATTAGGAATAAATTCACGGATTCAATTGGTAACGTAAAATATAATTCAAGAGAACAATTCGTTAATCAGCAACTTTTGAAATATAGATAAAACCGGCAATTCTAATTATCGACAAAATCCTGATGCGGAAAGTGAAATATTTGAAGAAATAATTGCTTCATATCGCTCACAGATTTATTCCCCCACGTCCTATAAAATCTGTCCAGACTAATTCATCCGGGACTAATTAAATTTCTCCCCTGATGGATAATTGAGTTTTAAGTCGATACACGAACGGATAACACGTGACGGATATTTCAGTTTTAGACGGCGGGAGAGATGAACGCTGAATAAATAATATCTAAATTTCAACGTTTCCATGCATTCCATATGCAGAAAGGTCCAGATTATCAGGATGAACCATCAACTATCCGTTAGCAATCCCAACTAATTGGATCTCATTACAAAATCCTTGCGATTATTTCTAAAAAACTAAATTCCAATCGAAAAAGCCCAAGAGAAATTCGCGGATACGGCTCATTCCAGTGTTTTATCTGATAAGAGGTATCACAGATACCGCAGTACCGCCTACTTGAGACCAACTTGAACTTGAAGAGTGGCGTCAGCCTCGGAGATATTCATTTATCTCATCCGTGGCCTCTATTTGTTAAAGACTCTTTGCCAAAGGGATTTTTTATGCATTAATTTTCTTTCCAAGTGATTCACGGGAGAAATATCAGCCTCCGGCGCTATCACGAGGAGAAATCAATATTAGAAGGTTTACACTCGGTATTTGCTACTGCAGAAAAGGTGATCTGTTATCACCGCGATTTTTTACTCCCCTAAAAGTTTTTATTACATTCTCTTCACCAACAATCGTATAAATCCTCTTACAGCGAGGAAAAATTGAATTTTCGGATGACTAAAGAATTTCACTCACATGAATTTTTAATTCCATAATAATTAAACGGGGTTTCATCTCAATTAATGATTCTTCTGAAATTCCCAAAAAAAATTAATGGAAAATGAGAAAATATTGGCAAAGAAAAATAAATTGTGGAGGTGTTGAATAAATTTTTGTTATGACTCATTGAGAGGTTGATTATTTTTCGAACTTTTGCCACACGTCGAGTCTACCACAAAATCCCCAAGGCGAATTGTTTTGTACTTTTAATGGATGTTGAGCCCCTCAACACGTTTCTTTGGCCGTCTCGCCAATATTTTTCTTTCGGCTTTTCACTGTTTATTTTTCTTCCTCTCTTCTTACCAAACCACAAGCACTCATCCAGACAGCCAACTACGATGGGGGCACACTCGTTTTTCTCTTGAAACCGAGTGAGGTGGCTTCTTTATTTCAATTTAACAAAAAGCCCTATTATGCTCCTATCCTCTCCAATCAATTGTGTTCAACGGAATTCAATTTCTCATTATCTCCTCAACGATATAGTCTGACAGTTGCGTAATGGAGTGGTTAGATACGACTCAATGCAAATATATTTTCTATCAAATGGTGAATGAGGAGAACCGGAAGCAATTTGGGGTATTCGAGTGTAATTCATCGGGGTAAAGGTAGAAATTTTCACTCTTGCCTCGGGGTATTTGTTGTTCTTTCAACTTTTTCTCTCACCGGTTGAAAGGAGCCAGGGGTTGGGTGAAGGGAGGGGGGAGGGATAACAAGAACAAATAAACATTATTTTTTTTTTTAGGGAGAAGCAGTGAGGTGGATAATTAAAAAAGAAGAAGCAGTGTGAACAAAATTTGGAGTTGTATTTTCATGCATTTCAAATTACGTAAAAATCTGAGGCGTCCTTTGGTGGGGGTGGGAGGGGGAGGGAATGGGAAATGCATCTCATTTGGGTGGAAAGGATGGGTGAATGTGGTAGGTAATTATTCTGGTGAAACCTGAGGTCTCATAACTCGATGACTTTATTTAACCATTGAGTTTTCATCTCGGGACTCAATTGTGGTATTGCCTTCTCAGGTAATGCTCTTGTAATAGTTTACGTTGGACAAGTGCTTTTCACTTTTTCCTTTTGATGTTGATTTTTCTGATGAATATTTTTACGAGTGATTCAGCTATTTGTGGAATTAAATTGTGCGGTTGTGGATTTTTGAACATGAGTTTTTTTATTGAAAAATTTTGGGTGACATTTGTGGAATTGAATTTATCACCTCGGGAGGATATTCGCGGGTTAATCCTCTTTTGATACAAAATGGAAAATTCCTCGTGGATTTCTGGTAAATTAATATTTTATTGTGATAACGAAATACAACAGTAATAAATCTGAGGGGATTAATTCGATTACCTATTTGTTCATGAATAAGTAATAATATTTTGGATATTGAATTTGAACTTTCAGCGATAGTCCATGGGAATTGTTAAATAAACAATTCAGTTGTAGAATATTTATAAATTTAATATCGAACTTTCTCTCATGGATAATAAGTTTCACTTATCAAAGTTGAATTTTTTATTTCGTTTGCTAATTCCAGTATTTTCAAAAAGTATTCAAAAAATTCATCTACTACTAATTGACAAATACTTTTCCATTTTGGTTAAAGCCATTACACGCAGCGAATATGATATTCAATTTATTTGAAATATTCCTAATGAAAAGGTCAACAGAATAATTTATTTAATCAGTCATATATGCGGAGTCTATTAAATTACTCGTAATTTGATTTGTCAATTACACTGAACTCTGATTGAAACTGGAGAAGTAAAATCCTTTCTAAAATTCATTAACATCAAAATAACAATTCTAGTTGAATTACATTTTTGCAACACCGGGGTACCATTTCCATCCCTTACTTTTCCCTGAAAATTCATTCTCCAAACAATTCCCATTGCCCCCGAGAATTCCGAACTCCCAATGTTTTCCGACAATTTTCATACACCAACTATCTAAACTATAATAATACCTCCCTCAACCCCCTCGCCCAAAAAAGTGCAGTTGTCATATACTTTTTAAAAATTCATTCATATGAAAATCACAATTCTCATTTCATCCTCAGAAACATCCCCCGGTACACACGAAAATCCGTGATAGGATCGCAATGGGACTCGGTGTGAAACGAAAATACATAGATTGAAGGTAGCGAGACGGGGGGGGGGGGTGGTTGAGGGGGTGGGTTTACAATATACATAGAGACATCACATGCACGTACATGGGGTATTAGAGTAACGATACTCATACAGAAAAGCCCGGGGACCATGGGAATGATGCGTCTGTTTCCATGGTTACCACAGATGCGGACATGGCGAGGGGTTGAGAGGGTGTAAGTGGGTGGGGGGTTATTTGAGGGGTGGGGATATCTCCTTCGCGCATCCCTCTGGGTTTGGACGGACGCACGAGGGGGAAAACTATATAATAATAACCGGTGGATCCTGGCCACAGGCGAATCAAGAGTTTGAAAATTTCGTTTCTGATCATCCATTCTGTCTCCCTCTCGTGCACAAACCCGAGCATATCCTCTTGATGTATTAGGGGTCTGGGGTACGTGACCCTCGTTTACTCGAGGAGGAAAACTCCGATGGACAGGAACCTGTCAAAGCGATTGTATGCAAGCTGCATTACGTCAATGGGATCCAACTGTTATGCAAAACTCATTTTTCCGCATGTGCAAAAAAATGAATTCGATATATCAAGTTTATTATTTATAATTTATAATTTTATTCATTCATTTTTTATCCATTTTAATCTATCGTCAAAGTAAACATCAAATATATATTTCAGGTTTTTTAATGGACAAATTTACAGTTATCACTTGGATTTTTAATCGATTAATTAGTTCAATCTTCTTTTACTATTTTTTCTATTATCCTAAGATCTCTTGGTTGATCCACAATTTACCCCATTCAGAACATCAATTCAAACTCAATGAGTAATTCATATTATTCCTCTGAATGATGTTCATCAACTCAGTATTAAGCACTTTCTCTACATCCTGAGGTAATTCCCCTCGCTTCAATTTATTTTAATTGGAATTTCTATTTACTGTATTTCCTTTTTTACGATTTTTTCTTCTTATTCAGAGATTAACTTCAGTGAATCTCAGCTGAAAACTTACCGCTGGTGCTCGTTTCTCCGCATAACTGTACTCACCCCTTTTAGCTCATCAAGCCTCCTTAACTCGTGAAAACTTTGTTGCTAACTTTGTCCATGAAATATTGATGATTTTATGATAAGGGGGAGATTGTTGTCTGAGTGGGGAAAAAAGTGTATTTTGAGTTTGACTTGATGGACCGAAATGATTGAGCTTGAATAAAATTCCATAATTACATTAAATAAATAAACAAAATATTTGGATTGAATTTTTGAAGAAAATCGAAGTCCACTGAGTAATTGTAATGAGTTGATTCATTCTATCGTCTTATTAAATAACAGTTTTAATTTCCGCTGCAGTTAATGCACTTGTCTCTCGTTGATTATAAGTTGGCATGAATTATCTCGTTTTCGCTGCAGATTAAGCTGGGCGGTAAAGATTATGTGTGAGCAATATCTACATATGTAGGATTATTAATAAAATCGAAATTGAATTAGTGGAGCTTTCGGGAATTACCGCAGTAGGGACGGTCTAATTTATTTATCAGTCAGGTCGACGATCCCCCAGTGAATCTCTGAATCCCGTGCACTCCTTAATTCGTATTTCCTCTGGAGTTTATCTTTAATATATCCAGTCCTCGCCGAAATCAAATAAATGCATTCATGAGGAGAAATATTGTCTCTAAAAATGGCTCGGTGACGACGACTGAAAATTATTAAACCAAAATCATTTCTTTATTCTCGCCTCGAACGGAGAAATAATTGGGTCAATTCAAAAAATTTATTGGACACTAAAGAGACTTTTTTTCACTGCATTCTTTAATCATGCAACATTTGATTTACGGGTATTCGTTTCAGGAATGATGGTAGAGCTTTGACACTTGAGAAAAATTCATGAATTCTAAAAATTCGACTCGTCATCCGAGCCCCTGAGGTCATATTTTCGATATTTTGGGGAGGAAAGAGACTTTTTTTAAATATCGACTTTTTTCATCATCTAAAGCTTGATTCTACCCATTTAATTGTCTCGGAAATGAAAATGGAATTTACAAACTCGGGAAAAATCTAAAAATGTGAATTTTTTTTTTACCCCAGTCCCAGAGATCAGATCCATTATTTATCCGAGGGGGAGATGGCTTTTTAAAAAATAATCGATTTGTCCATCAAACAACGGTTATAAGATCCGAAGAAAAAAAAACATAAAAAATACCCACCCCCTCACACCCTCCCCCAACAACCAACCACAAAAACATCAATCCCGTTCCCAAATGAGAATTAAAAAGTTCTCTAATTCCAGCGGTTGAAATAATATTTTTCCTCCCGCATTCCAAAGAATTCCCAACAACACTCATTGTTCTCCCGTTAAATCATACCTGCAATAGTTGTCATACACTTGCACATGCCCCCATCACAGTTTTTGTATCATTCCCCTGTTTTTTTTTATTACATTTCACAACAATAAGGTGCAGTGCGCGTGAGTGAGGTTGGAGAAGAGGAGACGGGGGTTGCGCAGAGAAAGCCAGAGGGATGAAGAGGGTGAATAGGGGGGATGAGAGAGAGAAAGAGAAAGAAAGAGAGAGAGAGAGAGAGAGAGAGCTGGGGCTGACAGGGTGTCGGCGAGATAGTCGGGTGAAATGGGGGGTCGCTTCGAGGTGGTGGAAAAAGGGGCAGGGGGTGGTGCGGTGGGGGGAAGAGGTGACGGCTAGGGGGTGAAAGGGTAAAGGGGTAGAGATGAGAGGGAGATGGAAACGTTGTAGAGAGGGTAGTGGTGGCGCTCGTGGTACCTAGAGCACTTCCAACGGTACCTCGAATTCAGTTTCGAATTGCCGACTCGATGTCGAGCACTTGCCGGAGTCGCGCATCAAGTCCTCCGTTTCCAGCTGTTCATTAATACGAGGAATATACGGTATATCACTGGTTAACGCATTGTGACAACAATTACACGGCAATTATCTCTCAGATGATGACGAGAGGAGTTGAATTATTCATGAATTATTTATTTTATATCCTCTTTATTGTTTTTCGTTGATGACAGGTGATTTTTTTCTCACTATTTGTTACTCAGATTAATTTTTGGTATAATTTTTGTAATTTTTCTTCGATATATGGAGTGGGGGGTGTGACGATCGCGATAAGCCCTCACGGTAATCAAAATAATTCAATTTGCCGATCCATTCTATTTGCAGTTAATTCGAATAATTGATGGTAATTGAGCCGCGGGCTGTTTCACTGTCCATTGGTCGTGATTAAAATATATTCAATGGATGAAATAATGGACGATTGTTAGGCGAAATGGGTAGCTGTGGATATTTTATCGAATCACGTTTATAATGGAGTGAATACGGAACATTCAATTCGGGGTGTTATTTAATTACTCGAGTCCTTCGTTTATTTTGCATTATTTTTTTTTTCCTCGTATGGAAATGAATTGTTTCACTGGGGATTCACTTCTATTTTCTCTTTCGGGTTTAATTGTCCAATTACGATGTGAATGATTGAGCAGATCTGATCGAGTACGGGGGATTGAAAGTAGAGGCTTCACTGAATTTATTTATTATCAGCAGTAACTATTCATTTCCGCCCGCATCTTCTCACAATGCGCGGGACTAATAGTATTTCTCATTGAGCGTTAAATAAACGGTTATTTTGAGAGTGATTTTTTTAAAAAGATCGTGGATTAAACTCGAAGTTAATTTTCATCTCACCGAGCAACGCGAAGAACTTGATGAAAAGTGGAGAAGCTCGAGGAGTTTATCTCCCGTAAATCACTCTACGTTCGCCAGAAAAATCAGAGGCTGAGAGTGATATTGTGTGGGTTACGCCAGCCTCTGGACCACTTACTCAATTAAATGAACTTGATCAAAGATAAATTGACGGTACCGAGTGAAAAAGATATAAATAAATAGAGCGGATTATTTTTTTGGTGATTATGTTGAGTGTTGGGGTGGTGAGTTGTGGAATACCTCTGGGATATGGCTTTAATGGCCGGTGGGTGTGAATTGTAAGGGATTTTATTGGGACCGGGAGTTTTGGAATCTGTGGGGATCTGTTAGGAGCCACGAGGTAACAACAGAACAACTTCGGAGTGATGCCGTGATGGGGCGCGGCTCCAGCTCGTTCTTCATAACCGCAACCCTCGTGGGCGCAATTCTCTTGAATATCCTGATACTTGAGACGTCAGGGGCTAACCGTGAGTCCCAAATATTTCATTCTTAATGGTATTGTTTAGGGTTGTTGGGGACAGGCAGATGCTGGAATTCTCTGTTTCATTAAGCTGACACACTCTAAGAAATACTCTATGAAACATGTAGCGAAATGGTCAACCGGACATTTTTTTTCAGAGCGGTTTTTCGCCGATACCTCGGAGTTGAAGGGACCTATCGAATTTTTCGTATATACATTTTTTATAGGAAAAAATGAGAGCTAGAAAAAAGGTTTCTATGAAAATATCATTATTTTAATTCAATTCCGAGAAATTCAATGAAAACTGGAGTCGAAAAAATTCATTCATACTATCGCACTTCGGTTCGCGTCAATTTGTAATCATTTGCAATTGAGAAAATGATTGATCATTTATTTCGCATGTGATCATTGTGTTTATGAATAATATTAATGCTGTTGCCAATGCACGTGAAGAAATAATTGAAATATTGATTACAACGTATTCATACCTGTGAAATTCTATTTACGAAAAACTCCGGCGGATGAGCGCAAAACGGAAGAAACGGTGAATTAATCCGCACACGTCGATAATGCACAATACCCGGGGTATATATCGGTGAGTAAAAAAAATAGTACCATTGAACCGCGGTTTACCACTGTCCACATCAGTTAGGATCAGTCGAAATTTTTTTTCCCCTTCGAAATTGCTCGGCACACGTTAAAAAAAAAACGACGAACTGATTCTCATCGAAATCCCTGTGCGTTCTGTATTCCTTTGAAATATCTCCGGGATGTTATTTCCATGTTGCAATATTTTCCATTCTACCCTGAAATGAATTTTCTCCCTTTTTTTTGCGTACGTGAATTACAGGGAAAAAAATAACGAAAATGCGAATGGATAGTCCTAATTTCGAAGTGCATTTAATTTTTTCATGCGAATTCAATGAAATTGATAATAAAGATGAGGAGAATAATTTTTATTATTTTTCCATGTTTAATGAGAGATCAATTGATTAATGAAATATTTAAGAATCAGTCGATAGCGAATGAAATTAATGAAAAATCTAATGACTAAATGAATATTGAAGAAATGAATATTAATTAGCGATCTCTGAATCGCAAATTGATATTGAATTTTTAAATAATTAATGGTAAATTAAGGGAAGTAAGAGAGATGTAGAATGGGAAAATATTAGCTCACCGATGGTTGATAATTTTCCTTTGCATGCATTGGTCAGAGAATTGCAATGGACTTCACCATAAACCAACTTAACGTCATGTATCATCTTCCATGAATAGAATAGCCCAGGAAATCATGGGTCAAATGCTAACACACGTTGAACAACGAAAAACGCTTGGCTGCATTTGTTGAGAAAATAACTGGAGACTATAATGTCGCTGTGTACTTGGGCTTCGCTGTTATGTAGTCCAAAAGAGACACTATGTACAGGCTTGGGAATTCTCTTTTATTATTGTTAAGAACCCCTGCCACTTTGTGCTACACCCCCTCTCCACCCCACCCACCTCCCACCTTCTTTTCACCACCACTGGAGGTTTTTATTTTCACACAATGGCAGAGTTGGTTTTTTTTCTCCTCTTTTTTTTTTTTAAACCCACCTCAGTACAGCTTCACTCCCCATTCATTCCCGCTTTTATAAACTTCCCCCCCAAAAAAATGTGTATACACTGTCTTAATAGCTTCATAGTAATTAGCAATTACTGATGATTACTCTCATTAGTTTTAGTGCGTTGTGGGGAGAAGTTTATGGTGGAGGGTAATGAGAAAAATGAGAATTATCTCTTGTTAAAATATTATCAAGTTTGATGTAATTCTTGATGCACCTGCGTTGAAAGTTCCTGGGAAAATTGATAGATCGAAGTTGTTTGAAAATTGTTGGGATACTTTACGGGTTTCAGGAAATACGTGAGTGATCGAATGGTGGGGGTGGAGGGTGGGAAAATTGTGAATTCTTGGTTATTTGTGGAGTTTATCAGAGCTTGCTCAGCATATCTTGGGTAATGAGTGAACGGTGCTGTTATTAAATTACCGGAAAGATGATGGAATTATTTTATGAATTATAGAGCTGCACTGGACAAAATAATTCAAGCTCTGAAATTATTTTAGGCTCATGTCATTCTTGAAATCGAGGTTTGAGGACGGAAATAGACTAATGCTCGTGTATAACTTCTATTTCTAGAATAAAAAATAGAGAATCCATAGAAAAATTAATGGAAAATTTGCCAATTGGACAAAATTACCGGTATTTTTAGTTTTCTGGTGAATCGTTGGTCGGATAAACCCGAATTAATTCGTAGTGATCCTCTAAAAATTGATAAAAATCTGGAAAATTGGGGTAAAAAATCCCTGAATTTTCCATAAACAGGAAAATTAGGGTAATCACATACTAAATATTCATTGTTTCGTTGAATATTCAAATAAGTTATAGAATTTTTGCCTGACTACCGAAGCCTGAAATTCCCGATTTTTCCACATTATTCCTCCAATTACTATTCGATGAAATTTCAATTCTCATGCAGTGATTCCCTTTCAATAAACAATCACCGGAGGGACTATACTGATCGACGGATTTACCCGAATTTTTGGGAGCTCGATTAATCTTGACAAAACATCTGCCCGAAAAAATATTTCCCATTCAAATCTGAAATTCTCGATGAAAATTTTCGAGAACGAAAACAATTCCAATTGGAATAAATTCCAGAGGTCAGATATGATGAGCTAAAATAACTCGAGATAAGAAAACATCAATTAATGTTTAAATGGAATCCGAGAATTTCGTCAGGATGAGAGATGAAAACATTAAAGTCGACATGACTCTATTTAATTTCTGAAACGTGCATTGTATTATCGGTGGGAGGGGTGAGGGTAGTATTTATGCCGACGTACGCTTATCTCGTTGCTCCGCAGTTTCATTCTTGCTCAGTGAGTTTGAATAATGCTCGTTGGGTTGAGGTATGTAGGATATATGTCGTTTCTAAACACCATTGGCTGAAAACTAGATAATTATCTCAAATGAGGATTCATGAAGTTTCGTAGAATCTGAATTTAATTATCCATGCATGCCGTCAGGAATAGAAACGCTTCAAGGCTATTGTCGATGATTGATTTAACTTTTGTTTAATCTCATCAACCGTTCAAATGTATATTAAAAATACCCCCGCAATCTAATAAAAAATAGTTATTTCTTTTAACAAATGATCTTTCTGCCGAATTTTTGCTGATTTTTTATTAAAAATATTCAAAAGGGATTATTACTCTTTGCGGTCTCCTGTTGTTCAATAAACAATGAGGCATTTATTTATTCCTCCGCTGATTACGGCATTGAATTTTCTCGTAAAAATGGTGAAACTTTGGTTGAGGCGGTCCATTACATCTTTATTACTCCATTCATTCTTACTAGCGATCGATTCCTCGGAAACATGAGGTTGATACAGCCAAACGACTGGCATTAGGTGGGTTTAACGTTTCGAAAGTTTCGCAATGACGTGAGGAAGATACCGTGGGTCAATGGGGAGAAGGAAGAATTCACGATATGAATTCTCAATGTTTGAGGGAACAGTACTGGTCGCTCGGATGAAGCCATAAAAGTTACAATGTCCGTCGTTAATACCGAAAACGTTCCACGTACACTCTCTGGACATTATTTTTTTTTTTTTCGCCATCCTCCATTGTCTACACTCGCGAAGATAGAATAGAATTATTATAATATAATAACCGATAAATCGCGATGCGGAATAATCCGTTGGAAAAAATTCTTGCGAGTACGGTGCACCTGCTCCAGAGCTCAGTTACAGCCAATTCGTTCGTTCATTCGTTCATTTATTTTTCTCAGCGTTCTCTCGTACGTTATGTTCAGGGGTTGGAGGGAGAAAGTGGTGATCCAAGATTTATGTATTTTCGCGAACAGAACCGAGTAGTATCTGCTTTATGACTCAGCAGATGAGCGAAATGGCCGAGCCCATGCCAACTTAAAACCTATGGCTCACATCCTATTTCTCACTGACGAACAGTCACACTCCGAAATTTTTCATTTCTCCATTCCTCCCGTCATTTCCTTCTTCATTTTCCACCCTATCTTCTCCCAATTTTCTCCTGCAACCGACAAAAAAAATTTATCATTTACCAATTACTTATTAAATTGTACCGGCACTTATCAGTACGCGCAAAATACGCGCAATTTGTTTAGATCTAGATTTTGAGGGATTCCCCATAAATTCCACGTGATTCAGCAGCTTCAACTTCAAATTTGAAGTGTCAATTTTCCACTGGTGAATGCAGTAATGGTAAATTAATGCAATTGTGAGTGAAAAGAGATGGTGATCAGATTCTCAGTTATGCTCGACGTTAACGATGAAAGGGCAGTTATCCAGGATAAACTAGCTGAATCCCCTCCAGTCATCGTGGCATATCCCCCATGTAGTTGAGAGTGTTGTATGTAGTCCTGTGTACATGGGTCATACCCCTGACGGCAAACTCCCATGGCTTATCCATTGCAATTCAACGGACTCATCCGGGCGTAAATGTAACGATAGTGTCCGGGACCCGTACGGATCATCGATTCTTACACCAACTAGCACGATTACGTGGGGATTGTCCTCCATTCAGTGTTACCTGGGGCGAGAATATATGTCGCAAGGGTGGGAAAAAATTTTTCCGAGGGATTTTCAGGGATGATTGCCAGTATTTACTTTGATTGATTGTATTTTTCCGGCTAGCGACTGCTAAGATGTCAGTGACAATGACAACAACCCCCGAACACACCATTCCGAATGAAGAGATCATTATTTTTTTTTTATTGATGATTCTAACATCATGCTGTTCCTTTCATCATTATTTTTCTTCATCGACAATTGATTCTGAATAAATGCCAGTCGAGTAATTGGAACGAAGGATTTTATCATTTTTCTCTCTTTTTTTTTGGAGAAAGGAAAAGTTTTGATTGTGGTCTGTTGACTCTCTCTCTCTCTCTCTCCCTCTTTACCTCTTAAAATCGAAAATTCTCTGAATTG